TTGATGGCTGGGACACTGGGGCAAGGCGGCACTTGAGGCCGTAAGTATGGCTGTGTTCTGAAGCGGCCATTTCGTTCCGCTATTTTTGTTCGAAATCGGGCTTACTATGCTGAAGTCGTCAAGTTTGATGGTGAGAGGTTTCTGGATGCGTCACAAAGGCCAGTGAACGGGGATACCACACGCAGATCGGAGACAAGCGAGGAAGGTCGGGCGTGGTGGTCAAAGGCGTGGTGGTATAAGTATCACGGGTGGCTGTCGGTGAGCCTGCGGAGCGACGTGGACTTGAGCATGGCTGGAGCAGTATTCTAGAAATTTCGCGATAGCCAAAGAGGAGACGTTTCGTTTGGTGAAGGCAGACTTTGGGTAGCAAAGAAGACAAGTTAGCTATCTTTCAGGCGGGATCGAAAGGGACGTGCCGCGATCACGGACGCGATGCAGGGGAAGGCTTACTAGGGCTGCCAGGACAGAGGCCTGAGAGGCCTCAAGAGGGCTTATGCGTAGGCCAACCCTTCCGCTCGAAGTCCACAGCTTGTGGAGGAAAGTAGAGATGTTGTTGATGAAGCTCCAGGGCTGGGCGGGAGTCGCCGCTTCGATTTCGCGCCTCAGTGCCCGTAGGATGTAGGTTTCAATCTAGGTCCCAGACAACTTGTGGTTGTTAGCTCAGGAACCAGCAGGAGTGGTGCGTAATGCTTTGGGCGTGCGCAGTGTTGCCTTAGATTGACCTGCCTCTCGCCTTATCGTTTACCGTATCTTAGGTAAGGCGAAAGGTCGAAAGCATGTGCTTCGTTCCGCAACTGTTCTGCTGTCGGGCGTCTCAATGACGTAAGATGGTTGATGCTTCTTGTCTTAGTGTAAGGTAGACTGCCTTAGGTAATGCTGCCTCGGGGCGTCGCCAGGGTAGGTACCCCAGCACCTCCATTGAGCTCTAGGTAGTGGCACCAGCCACATCAGGCATGGATGGATTGATCTACCTTAAGGTATGGTAGGTATCCATAACACAGTACCTAGGTAGGTCAAATCTTGAGGTGAGGTCCATAAGGTAGTGGGGACTTCGGCCCCCCGCGACGGGTCCTCCAATATAAGTGCCTCTGTGGCTTTAGTGGGAAGTTATCCCAAGTATCTTTCAGAGCTGCCCTGCATCGATCTTGGGAGTTTTGATATTGGCGTCGACGACTTTCGATCTCGCTGTTGACGCTGTTTACCGAAGCTTGTACGGTAAGGAATCCGCTATGGCGACTTTGTCATCTGGGGGCGCTGACTGAGCCTATCCTGCACAAGGACTGGAACATTACCAAGTCCTTCGAGGGCTTTGTAATGTTGAAGCACCTGCAGCTGCTGTTTGCTACCTGGAAACGGTGGGGAGGGAATCTAGAAGTCGTAGTCTCTTCTTTCTCGTAGAAACGACAGCTTGGTGTCTTGCAGAAGAATATCAGAATGGTGCTGAATATTGTCCACCTCTGGGATGCACGGATGGATAGGTGTGTTCCCGGCACAGCCTGCGAAGTGGACAAATCCAAGGATTCACTAATGTATGATGTGGAGCGCCTCTCATGTTGAACTTAGGGCCCGGCGGGAATATCTAGTATACTACCTAGGGCCCACTGCCTTAGACATGCATTCGTTCCGGGAACCAGCAGTCAGGGAGATGTTCTGCCTCGGTTTCATCCATTTCATCGCAAATAGCCTGGCCCTTACATCTGACGTTGAGCTTCAGCTAGGCTAAAGATGCTGGAATGTGTCCTATACCGGTTGTTACAACGGAGTATTCGTACACGGCTCAACGCAAATGATAAGCATGCGTGGCTCAGTACCTAGTACTCGCAGGTAGCATGGAAGACCTAGAATTTGATGGTTTTCAGAAAGAATTGGAGACGCACGAAAGGGTCGAATGCAATCGGCTGGAATAGGTATGGCCCTGATCCCGCGGATGAGCCGGCCAGTGGAGACGAAATAGGACGACCATACCGACATGCCGTTGAGTTAGGCTGGACTGTAGTGTGGTGCCAGGTCGCACACGAAGGGGCTCGGTAGGTAAGTTGGTAAGGTCGTTCAAGATGTCGGCAGAAGTTTCCTCGGGCACGAGATCTCCTTCTCATTCCGTCTCTGATTAAGAGCATTAGTTTTGGGTAACTCTGGTGCGGGAACTAAGGTACCTACTCGAGTCTCTTGTTGCCACTCAACATGTTTCAAGAAGGGCAGACAGGCAGGGATGTCTCGAAATACAAACAACCTCGTGCCAGCGAACTCAACGATAGGAATATCTAAGCCTCCGAGGTAAGGTACCTATGATGCCTTGGGCCATACCTAGGTGATGTGTAAGCTATCCCCCGACATCTTCTCTTGATGTGTACCGTCAGGCGATTTGATGATCGAAGGACGTAACGCGACAGACGTGTGAATGCAAACAGGTACGAAAATTGAGAGACTAGGAGACTGATCAAAGGAGAAAGGGAGAAGTAAAGGCAATCGAATCATCTCATCGTGGTTCTCGATGGCATGCTCTGAGTCTCACCGTGTCTGTTTGATATATGGCGGGTGCGGTGCAGCGGTGCAGTGGTGGCACTCGATCCGTCCACCCTCAATGGCTGAGATTGGCGCTACGACCACATGGATGCCACTGGATGCAGCAGCCGTGCAGTAGTGCCTTGCCCTTTCCCCACTTGGAGTGTGACACCCCCGCCCGTCTCCACCCCCGATTTCCTGGGTCCAACCAAGGGGCCCCCGGGACCAGGTTTTGCAGCTCTTGCTGTCTCGACCCTTTGAGCGTTTGGTTCACCACTTCATTTTACCATCACTCACACGGCCTCCCTAAGGTACAAACAGTATTATTTCTCTTTGTACAAACCGGTACTTGCTATGGTACCGTCGCTTCCTACCTAAGTTGCTAAGGTGTGTAAGGTAATGTTATCTGAACTCGCAATACTGCCGTCGATACATTGGCCGAGCACCAGACGATGCATCCAATTGTCAACGCAAGCGATGGTTCTGGCTGCTTTTTACCCCGAGTCTTCCGTTGCCATTCTTTTCTGACGTACGGACACCTTGTGGAAAGCTCTGTGTTCTTCTGTTGCCTGGGAGAATGAATTTTTGCCTCTCTCAATTGAGAATTGGACGGCTCGGAGGCCTAGACCAGATCGACAAAAAGACATGTCTATCCGTACGGATACACTACCTTAGCACGGTTTGGTTGGATACCGTTTCTTAGAAGGTGAGGGGTAAAACAAACCCGGGGTCCAATATCGCGCTTCGCTAGACCTTCCCTAGCACGCCTGGGTATCTCGAAAGGAATACCCAACCATTGCCAGGTTGGTTGCTTCCTTCTTTGATGACAGCCAGTAGTGAAAGAAATATTGAACAACACGATAGACGATAGTGAGCAATCAATCCACGTACCTCAGTTGCATTAACAGAAATCCAGCGTGGCTATCACAAGAATTGACTACCTTATTGCGTACCGGGTATCACGACCATTAGCGCTAACTTGCATTGCTGAAGCCCTCCGTGGCCGTGCTCCAAGCCAAATAAACGCTGCCCACCATTGGCACTGATCCCCCCCCCCTTGTCCCTCTCCAACCCCTTCCCCCTCCTCTATCCATGAGAACTCCACATCCTTTAGGTTCCTTGATTGGACAAGATGGGATGCCAGGTCAAGTGGCTTGGGAGTCGGGGGTCGGGGCGCGGACATGGCTTGGTCTCGCATGTTGGAGAGAGAGCTGTCTGCCCATCTCGTCGACGTTGGACATGCCCTAAATAGCCACCTTGCCTTACCTGACTATGCCAGTAGAATGTAGGTACACTCACTACCTGAAGGTACGGATAAGGTGGTAGAGTAGGTAAGGTAGGGTGATGCGTTTCCAGGTCGCTCCTCACCATCGTGACGCCGGCACTGTACCTGACGTGTCACGACTACTTTCAAAGAGCTTAGCACACAACTCAAACCTTCATTACTTCAGTCTATCCCACGGTTTCCTCGCTCCCCTCCTGCGCGTTCGCTCCTTTCCTCGTCTTTCCCCAATCATCCGACACCTTTCCTCGACATGATGCCGCCCTGCCCCCCTCCCGCCATCATCAAAATAGCCCTCCTCCGCCTTCCATTCGTAAAGCATCGTTCGTCCCTGCCCTCGTACTGGTAGCTTCAACGTCGGCCTGCAGCTTTCGAGCAACCGACGCTCAATCCCTACGTATACGGGTACTCGACTCATGTTCATAGAGCCGTTTTGTATCATCCAAGAACAGCAGCGAGACGAGAGGCACTGCCGCCCCAGCTTATCACAAACTGGCGCTACTGCATTTCGCTACTACCGGAACGCAGCTACACTACCACACTCTACCTAAGCCGAACTGAAGCTACCCTGCTGTTTGGTTGCTTTTGGGGCACGCACGATAAGGATCGCCCATCACCCCAGCCAGTCGATCCAAGGCCCAGCCGATTTACGGTTAGTTCGAGCGCCTTCCTTACCTTACCGTTCATTGCCTCCAGATATCATCTCTCCCTCCTGTCTCCCTCCCCGAGTGCCCCTTCCTGGTACTCTTTCTGCTCTCTCCACCCCGTCTATCCCCCTTGTCCTGCCCCCGTGCTCCCACGCCCGTTTAATTAGTACCCCAACCTGTTGTGGTCACAAACGTCCTTCTTCCTTCTTCCTTCCAACATATCTCGGACTCGGATCAATCAGACGGATGATTCGAGCATCTTTCTCTCTCCTGCTCATTTCATGAGCATTCGAAGGCCTCCTCTACCATTTATCTGTTGTGTCTGTTGCCAACTCGACGTCTAACATAGTGTGGTTGGGTTGCAGGTATCACCAACTCTGCACAAGAGACGCACCCCGTTGTACGCGTGGGTTTAGGCCTTGGTTGCAGTTCCACCGTCTTTCCAACTCAGCGCCGACTGTTCGCAAACAGCCAGTCCACAGCTTCAATTGCGATCAGCTGCCGTCTCAAGGCAACAAGGTGAAGGAGAAAGAAACAGAAAACAGAAAGAACAGTATACATACTTCAGCATGGCGACGATTGCCCTTCCGAGACCCATTGCCCCGCACCGCCCAACGTCGACGGTGGGATCCGTCCCAACCATATCGCTCGAGTCCATTGGCACTGCTCAAGTGCCCGTACCAAACAAGCATCTTCCAGTTTGTCCTCCAGGCCCTGTTCCCGCCGAGGAGCCAAACACTCCTCCTCCATCACCCCCTCGCGACGACGACTTGATTCAGCAGACTTCGTTGTTGTTCCCCCCCGACAAGTTCCCCAAATTCGAGTCGGGCCCGGCCACCATATATACCGTCGGCCCCGCCGATGTGGCTACTGCTGTCGACTATGTCTCCCGTCAGCCCTTGCCGGATCCGAATCAAGTCTTTCCATGGTTCCATGGTCTTCATCCTCACAATCATATCCAGCAGGCTTTCTTCATCGCTCGCCACCGTTCACTCCGTAAAACACCTACCTGTGTTCGGGGGGTCACGCTCGTCAAAGCGGACGGTGATCTGAGCGTCGCCCGCCTCAAAGGTGCTATAGCCCCACAAGAGCTCATCAACCTGGCCGCCGCCGCCCCCGAATTTCTCGATGTCGACCCCCGCGATGGCTTTTGTGTGAGGAATTTCCAGATTCAGGCTGCAAAAGCTGCCATGGTTTCGGACATTGTCGTCTACGGCCAGGATGAGGCGGCTGTTCGCAAAGTGAGCTTCGATATTGCGACGGCACAGCTTCGATGGCGACAGAGACACGAAGCCCAGGGTCACTCTGTTCCGGAATACAACACATTCATGTGTTGTTCTCCATTCAACAACTTTGAGAACAACCACAAGGAGATTGTTGCTGTCGACGCTCAGGGTCATTTGACTGGCAATGTCCTCGACTTTTTCCACCAAGAACGGATAGAGATGTATGACATGACCAGAGCATCGGAAATCTCCCACAATGTTTGGCTCGGTCCAACACCAGAACCTTCCTCAGGGGAAGACCAACAGTTCGATGTTTTGATCGAATGTAGTGATGTCGGTCGGCTTAACCCTTCAGCACTGCGGACCTTGGCTGAGTCTCGGGTTGAGCCTGCTCAGAGGCCCTACATTGACTTCCCCTCCTCTGGAAGCATCTTACCACCTACATGGTCACAAGCCGAAGCCGATGGCATTTTGGAAACCTGCAAATGGATTTATCACTTAGCCCATGGCACGCTTCCAGCCACAAACAGCACCGACATCGATAGGGACGGCGATACCGATATGAACGGGCAGGCTCTGTCGCCTGTTAATAGGAGAGAAAGAAAGATTCTCATCCACTGTGCTGATGGATACACCGAGTCTACCATGCTTGGAATCGCATACTTCAGCTACAGCACTGGCAGGGGTATTGCCGATGCCTGGTTGGACTTGCATACCATCAAGAAGCGGAATTTCTTCGCCTATCCTACTGACGTTGCTCTTCTTACCTGTATCGAGGCCCGATTACTACATGAGTCGCCCGTTCATTCGGGTAAGGGCCTCGGCGAAATCACGTCGCTGATAAAGGAACCAGCATGGCTTCCCGGTCTAGATGGATCATTGCCTAGCAGAGTTCTTGAATATATGTACCTCGGCAATCTATGTCACGCGAACAACACCGATCTCTTGAGGGCCATGGGGATAACTCAGATTTTGAGTGTTGGCGAGACTTCGATGTGGAGGGAAGGCGAGTTGGAGGAATGGGGTCCAGAAAACGTCTGCATTGTACAAGGAGTGCAGGATAACGGAATTGATCCTTTGACGGATGAATTCGAGAGATGTCTCGATTTTATTGGTAAGCCGGCGACCCTTGATCTTTTGAAAGTCGGAACGGTGCTTACTCGTTTTACTTCAGAGCGTGGCCGGCGCAACGGAACAGCCACGTTGGTACATTGCCGCGTTGGAGTATCGCGCAGTGCAACCATTTGCATCGCCGAAGTAATGCGGTCTTTGGGTCTGTCTTTCCCCCGAGCATATTGCTTCGTCCGAGCCCGCAGGCTCAATGTCATCATTCAACCACACCTCCGTTTCGCGTACGAACTTCTCAAATGGGAAGAGCTCAACCAGTCGAAGAAAAAGGGTTCATCTAGGGTGAAGCGGGAACTCGAATGGGGTGAAATCGCCAGAGAGATCGCTCTAATGAACCGTCCTTACGCCAGGTAAACTAGGCTTCTTCCTCAACTCGGCGGCGTGACGCGTATTCTTCTCTCTTGCGTCGACTCCGAGACTTTTATCTCTCGTTTATTTGCCCACGTGGATCGTCGGACGCTCTTTAATATTACCTTGATACTAGTGTTGGATACATCAGAGACAACTGAGCAACCAGGCCCAAGGCCCAGGCGGTAGCTGTTTAGTTCAGGTTGTATCCTCAATGGTAAAACTTCATGTGGAATGATTTGTGCGGATATATGACTGATGGAATGGCGCTAAGGTATTATCTCCTGTAGGGGAGACTTTTTAAGGGGGGGACATTTTGGAATGGACTGTCTGGCGCATGATTTCGACATCTGTATTTCGGCTGGCCTGGCGTTTACTTGACTAGTTATATTTTTAGGGTGGTGCCGGGGGCATCCTCGAAGCCTTCGTCGATACAATCTCTTGATCATAAAGGATACTTGACCGCCAGGTCATCGGGTACGATCAGTGATGGTGATGGAATTTTATTGGAGGTATAAGAAGGGGACATCAAGCAACAATTCACAACCCGTTGTATGTTACCAACTTTCTCTTGAACCGTGCGTAGTATCCTGAAGCTAGTTGGTTGCCACGACAGATGCTTAGCAGAATAGCTGCTATTTTGACTAGGCTTCAAATTACTTGGCTATTCTTCATGAAGAGAAAGTGCTCCTGGTCTAGTGTATGGTCTGAAGTGATCCTGTGCCGTAGACCAAAGGTGTAGCCGCGGGATCCATGACAGCTATTAGACTGATCGAGCTAGTCGCTCCATATTACCTACGTCCAGAATGCAAGGTGCTGTAGCCTACCCATGAACCATACCGCCTCCTTTAGGCACAGACCAAAATAAACAGAAGTAGAAGAAGATAAATAAATGAAGTTATCCGGACGCCTCCTGATGCAGAATCGCCCCCCCCCCCCATCTTCTACTCCCGCAGGTGCCAATCCTCATTCACCATCTCACTATATGAGCCACGCAAACAGCACTTCATGTGCCGTACGAGGACGCGTCCAATTTGTCGTCGCCATCAATGACTCTGCCAGAGATATCTGTTTAGTATTGTGAACCACAAGCACATAACGATGACGAGACATCGGTGCGATAACTCACGAGAATTGTTTAACCAGGTAGCCCTCGCCGCCATGCTCCATGTCAATGTTGTACACATAAAAGCCACCGTCACTAGTGACTACCATCACTTGAGGACTGCTGCTGCTCATGGCCACGACACTTCGAAGCGGGCCAGTCAGCGGCTGCGACGCGCCCCCATTGTTGTTCCCACGGGCTTGGCCCGTCGGTGAGTTAGAAGACTTTGGAATCTTGATGTACGCAAAGTCTCTGAGCGGCTCCCACATCTCTGTTACCGTCTGCGGCAAGTATGAGCCAACGACACCGGCCACGCTGCGACCCATAATCTGCGACGAGCGCCGAAGCATGCTACTAAAGGAGCCACTTTGCCGTCTGTTGATCTGTTGCTGAGGATGAGAAGAGCCGCCGTTACCGAGCCCAGCGGGTTCCGCCAAGTCGCTTCGTGGAGAACCAGCCGCACTCCCCACAGGCGACTCATTGTTGCTGTCATAGCTGCGTGACCTCGACCAGCGATCCTGACGAGGTGAAGCAGGCGTCTCTGCTGCGGCGGCGGCGGAATTGTTGCCTGGAGGAGGGGCTCCGAGACGAAAGATGTGAACTGTGTCGGAAGTTGAGGAAACGCAGAGAAGGGTAGAGCTGAGGTTGAAAGACATGCTGTAAATGGTGGAGGGATAGGTTCCTCGGCGGAACTGGTAAAGTTTCTGACCTCCAGGGACCGAGAAGACGCGGATGATGGTACCAGTCTCGCTTGCTGTGGCCAAGAGCGTTCCTTCACTATTGAGGCAGATGCAGCACAGTGGTGAACGATGAGCCTCAATTACATTCACAGCCTTCAATGTGAGCGTGTCGAACACCAAAACCTCTCCTGATGTCGGTGCAACATATGTTGAGAGGGGAGGCGCATGGGCTGGTCTTTTGTCTCCTGAGTCCTCCCGAGGTTTCGGTAAAGGGTACGCAATGTAGCAGTTCTCTGAAGACGGTGATAGAGCGCAAATTGCGCCAGGGTTGGGAGACGTGGGAATCGTGAAGAGAAGGCTCATATTAGAAATATCATATAAGTAGATTTCGGACTCGAGAACGACGGCGAGACGTTTCCGGTTGAGACGCACGGCGAGCACGGCTGATGGAAAGGTAAGTTCGCAGATGACTGAGGATCTCTAATTACGGTCAGAGGAGCATCATAATTTGGCATGGATATTTGCCAGCAAGTGACCGGCACTCACCTTTGTGTTTTGTATTATCAAGTGTCGAGGGGATAGGATCAGGGCGACAAGAGATGTCGAGAATAGCATTTCAATAATAGCAATGTTGCCATCGTCGCTGCTGAAGATTTTGGAGAACGGGTCGGTGTGGTAAATTCGGAAGCCCTTGGAAGTACCTAGCAAAGTGGAACGCAAAACAGTTAGTAACTTTGATCTGGAAAACGCCGTATGGAACCAGGAAAGTAGATACGGGGGGATCTCACCAACGGCTAGACAGCTATGGTCCTGATTAAAGGTAATGAAGTTGAGGGCGGTATTCGCCATGGTGCGCTGCTCGGATCACTGTGGAGATGCGGACGACGGTTCTGGAACAGCAGGTTCTGTAACGCCCGGGCAGCGCCGGCGATCAATAAGGACCAGGCAACCCAAATGTGACTGTTCACACTATGGGCAGGTTTTGCGGATTTGGGTATTCGCGATACTATGTGCGCCGCGATAGATGCTCGTCGAAGCCCCACACTGGTAGAAACTCGGGATCAGTGGCGCAACCAGGAAGAGATTCAGTGGCGGCGGTCTGGGGCAGAGGTAGTCGACAATATGCCAAGAAGAGATCGAGAATAGACAGCGTGGACAGGATACGATGTGTGTTTTCGCATGTACTCGAGAGGCAGATGATTGTTGGTTGAACCGAAATAGGAAGCAGCGGCTCGGCGACGGCTGGCGGCTTTCAGCTGCCAAAAAGTCCGAAAGGATGATGGTCAAGATGAGGCGGTGTTCGGTTCGAGGGCGACGAAAACGGCGAGGGATCGAGTGCAGTTGAAAGGTCGGAGGAGGTTTGCGCAAGACGGCGGCAGCGCAACAGCAGAAGGAAGTTGAGGTGATGGAGATGCCGTTGCGGTCAAGCAAGGTCAGAGAGGTCGGGCAAGGAAGGTCGGTGTTGGCGTACGGTATCTTGTGGAAGCAGATCCAGGCAGGACGGCTCACAACGCAACGTGAATGGAGGAGGCACCCCAATATCAATCCAGTGGGGGGCGGCGGGGAAGCTATGTAATCCCATGGTCCTAGCGCCTTAGCAGCCCAGAGCTCATCGCGGACGGATACAGACCTAAAGTGACAGAGCACGGTACCAGGTAGGTACCGAGGGTGCTAGGTACCTAGGTAAGTTGTCTATTCGTACGTGCCGTGCGTGCCTAACATCTAGATGGTATGTATGACAAAAGCGTTCAGGTATTTCACCTCACTTGATGCAGTAAGTATGGAAACCTGCTCTATACAGGCATTCGCAAACCAGAGTACCTTGGGTGTTCTCAGCGACCTGGAGGCAGGACCGCAGGGGAGCAGTCCGCGTGCAGTTGAAATGGCTGGGTGTGTTGAAGGCACGTGTGGCTTAAGCTCTGGGCAGCTGGCTCGGAAACTCGCGACAGGTGACCCATTGGGTCAACCTGCCCTGTGGAACTCGAGGCATCCACGGGCACCTCACCTCAATACCTACCTACCTTACCTTAGGGACTTCAAGGTAGGTACGTACCGTTTTGGGGAGCATCTTTGATAAGATAAGACAACCTAAAGACTTCCAGTTTCCAAGGTTTCATGGGAACAAACCATGAAGTATTATGGTGGGCACAGACAGGAAACAATTAGGTGAAATCACCAAGTCTACGTGGAATTTGTTACATTTTCTTGGCTGGGACTCGATGCACATGAAACAGCTCTATTCTAGCCCGCTTTTCACATTTCTTGACGATGTTCTAGAGGTTTAGTGCCATAGAATGTGATTCAACCGCCTTTATCCCGCAATGGGGTTTTAGAAGCTCGGAGCCCCGTTGTTTGGCGCCTTTCACTGAGGAGGGAACTTTCTGCAAATTTCAGTCCGAGAAAAAAAAAAAAAAAAACTCTAGCGGCGCCAAAACCAAGACTCTCGCAGATATCGTAACCCGCTACACGAAGCGTATTGAACCGGGCGTAAGCTTCCTTGTAATCCGTCCAAGATGGCTCCCTCTACTCGGGACGTTCGAAAAGCTCGGGCCTCGGACGACTTGATCATGGCCGTGAGTCGGTTTCCAGTGTCCATCTGTCTGACTTCTGATTTAAGGTCACTCACCCCCTTTACTTCATAGACAAATAATAGTTCTATCGTCTCAAAGCGCAGTGTCGTAAGTCTTACTGCCGTACACTTGGTTGGAACGGAATCCTAAAAACCATCCAAGGAACATCTTTACTATCCTGACGAGCCTCACTACTTTCGGTTCTTTGTGAAAAAGTTCCGGAGAAGGGCACCTCTCGTAAATAGAGGCTATCATCTTAGACTCAAAGTCATCGACACCCTAGTTCGCCGATTTCTCCAAAAGCCATCAACCCGAAACAAGGTTGTCGTGAATCTTGGCTGCGGAAGGTGAGTTTCTCTATTTTGCTTTACACATTTATGAGACCTTTGTATGATTAACGCTTCATGATAGCGACGTTCTGCCGTGGCAGTGTCAAGTGCGCTATCCCGAATCATGTCAAGATGTTACTTTCCTTGATGTCGACTACCCAGATCTTATTCAGAAGAAGCGGCAGATAGTACTCGAGACCCCTGAGCTTCAAGATCTGATGGGAACTTGGGAGGTAAATGACGATTCCCCAATCGTCCTCAGAAGCCTGAAGTACTGTCAAGTGGCATGCAATCTACAGCAGCTCTCGGTTCTGCAAAGATGTCTTGACACGCTCTTCGACATGCCAAACACCGAATTCCTCTTCGTGGCCGAAGTTTCCATTACTTACATGGACACGAAAGGTGCCAATGGAGTCATTGAGTGGGCAGCCACCGTTGGAAATGGTACGTTTCTTATCCCAGACTGTGTGACACACTCTAACCAGATACTCAGCTGAATTCTGTCTACTGGAGCAGATCCTGCCAGATGGACCCGATCATCCTTTTGCTCACACGATGCTTGGGCACTTCAACAAGATGAACGCTCCACTCAAGTCCGTCCATCGCTATCCCACTGTGGCCAGTCAGGAGAAGCGATTTCAGTCTCTTGGCTGGCCATCAGCTGAGAGTTGGACACTCTGGGAGGCTTGGTCTGACAATTTGTTCATGACTGCTGCAGAGAGACGAGCCCTCGACTCGGTCGAGTCTTTTGACGAGTTAGAGGAGTTTGCTCTTTTCGCCAGCCATTACTTCGTAATCCTCGCTACAACTCCGAAGTCTGAAGTCCGGGGCCACGTGTCCAAGGTCCATGAAGAAGACGACATTCCATCTTTCCAATGCCCGATGACCATGAGTGCCTACGAGTCTGCTCAGGGGCACCGCCGACTGGGGGCCGCAATGCTCGTCGGAGAGCCCAACAGCGGTGGATTCATCTCTCACAGCTTCGGTCAGGGGCCTGTTGGACGAATGAATTCCGAGGATCTGTACCAGATTTCTAGCCAGCCAGTGGCTCCCATCCCATCCGTCAATATGCCCTCTGCTAGAGTATGCCATAGCCTTACGGACTTGGGCACCGCTGGTGTCCTTCTCGCGGGTGGTCGTGCGTCCCCATCAACGGCGTTCGGAGACTGCTGGCTATTCAACAGGCATCTTTCTGCCTGGGAACGAACAAAGGATCTACCCGTTCCCCTTTTCAGGCATTCTGTGACTCGACTAGGCTCTTCGACTCTTGCCCTCCTCGCTGGCGGTAGGATAAACCACTTTGAAACATCAGCCGAATATTTCTTGTTTGATCCTGCAGAGGGTTGGAAAAAATGCCATATACAGTCTGCGCCACCCTCACTGTACAGTGCTACATTTGTGTGTGTAGGCGAAGTGGGATCTCAAGCTTTCACGGGTTTCCTGTCCGGGGGCAGCCTTGAGGATAGCATCATCAACCAGGAATTTTACACTTGGAGACTGGACACTTCTGAGCCCGAGGTATTTGCCAATGCGACTCCTTGGATCGTTTTCTTTGCATTCGCTAATGCCCATTTGTAGCCTGTATTGTCATTCCAGCAACGAACTCCGAAAGACGGGGGACTGCCCGGCGCTCTTGCTAGGCTCGGCTCTTTCGCTTTTCAGTCGCTTGATTGCACGCTATTGCTTGGCGGAGTGATTAAAGGGGTCCAGCTTCCATCGGTATACGACATCATCGTTCTCAAAACAACGGAAACGGACGTAAGTGTGGTGGCCAGGCTTGATGGTATTGACAGCTCCGGCGTGATGCGCCCCTTTCTGATGGGGTCTTCCATCGTGCACTATGGACATGGGGGTTTCGCCATCGTAGGAGGTGGAGCAACGTGCTACGCCATGGGAACATTCTGGACTCCTGGGAGTTACAGCTTCCGCTTCGATCCGAGCCTTTTACCCCAGCATAGCACAGGGCAAACAGCCACACGACCCGAGCCGATCCAATACAAGCAGACGATTGAGTTCTCGGGGAGCGAGAAGAGGCTCGTCGAATAAAGTGGGTTCATACCACCCTTCTTCAACATCACTCATAACCTGTCGTTCTAGATTCGCACCGCAGTCGGCTATGTCCTCAACAAACTCGCGCACCTGGCAGTAGTTCGCCAGTTGTGGGCCATCTGCATAAAAACATCGGGACTTCATAGTAGGGGAATACGTTCATTCAATGGAGGATTAGCCTCGGCCTCGAAGCAGTTGCTTCATTGACGAAAATATACTCTTGACATCGCTACCAAGGCCCTCCTTGTTCTCTCTTGCCCTCTCGAGCCCGCCTCTCTTGAATCCACCGGGGACGCAAAGCCACAGTAGTAAAAGAAATATTAGAAGGGCCAGGATGATTGGCTGTAGCACTTGAACGCCTTTGCTCTGGGCGATGGCCCCAATGGCAAATGGGAAGATAGCTGCGCCACCGCCGCCAAAGGCAGCAGCAAATCCAATCACGCCCACATGGTAGTCGTTGGGGAGCAATTTGGTCGCGGTAACGATGACGGCGGGGAACAGGGGGCCGAGGAAGAAGCCGAGGAACGTGATGAAGATAACGGAGGCGACAAAGTTGGGAACTAGCCAGTAGAGCAATTCGAGGGCGAGTGAGATGAGAAGGTAGATTGCGATCGCGCGCTTCTCTCCTATGCGCCCCGTTATGAAGCCCAAAATGACTCGTCCTATCGTCAGTCCCAGCCTTATGAGGAGACGGTTAGTAGGGGTTCCTTCTTAAGTAAAAAGAAAAGCGTGGAGAGGAACGTAATTACCAGAAAAGCACCACGGTGACGCCAGCCAAGAAGGGCTCAGCGTGCCTCACGCGAAGCATAAAGGTAACAACCCACCCGCCCAGGCTGACTTCTGCTCCAACATAGCCCAACAGAAACAAAGCCAGAAGCCAGGTAAGTGGCTGACGCACTACGGTCATGGTCGTCGTTCTCTTCTCTCCCGTCGAAGACTGGTGGGTGTCCCTATGTATCTTGCCAGTTGCGCCCCAGAACGCCGTGATGGCGGCCACGAAGTTCACCGCGGTGACACCAATCATGACGTAGTAGAAGGAGTACCACGGCAGCTTGCCCTTAGTTACCATGGCGGAGGCAACTAGGGGGCCGATGGTCGCGCCCAGGCCATATGCACCGTGAAGAAACCCAAGCAACTCGTTGGCATTCTGCATGTTGCCGACCCAGGCGTTCCAGGCGCTGTCTTCGAGGCCGTTTCCGAAGCCGGCGAAGAGCAAGACGACAGGGAGGACTGGGTAAGGTGGATGAGAGACGAGAGGGATGTAACCGATCATGCGGCTGATAGGGCCGAGTACTGCAACGCCTCGCTGACCGAGCTTGTGATGTATGAGGTTGTTGGATAGGGCTGCCACCAGGTAGCCAATGAATGGTGAGAGGAAGAGTAGGGCGACAACGGTGTACGTGATGTTGTAGTACGTTTCGATCTGAGCCCCCAACGTCAGGCTCATGCTACTAATGGGAATTGAAGGTTTCCGTGAACTTACATAAGGAATCAGGGCCTGTAGACAGACAATTGTAAGTATTTAACATATCTGAGTGTCGTAAATATTTCTAGACTTACACCGACAGCGGCGTCGTTCATGCCCATTATGATGAAGCTCCAACAGGTGACGAAAAAGCGGTAAGTATTGATGCGAGTTCCGTTCCAACGCTCTCTAGTCTCCTCAAGAGTGGTAATTGGAGGTGCATCTATGTCCTCTTCCCTGTCTAGAACAGGGACTGGGGCAACTTTCTCGCCCATCGTCAGCCCTGGCTGGTTTGACGAGATGCCGCAAGGTCAATGTGTGGGTAAAAGATTGTCTTTGGGAAACACTGAAGATTCTGCATCTCTGAGATACTCTAATTATGATTAGGACAGACTGTTGGACGATAGTACGAGGTGCGCGGAGCATTACGACTTTAAGGTGATCGAAGTCGGGAATACAGTCCCAGCAAGCGGCAAAAGCCCGGAAGTTCTGCCGTGGAGGAAAAACGGTTCACTTGTCTGAGAGGAGCCTCCATGGCCAATTGGGAATAGGGCGTGAGGCCATCCAATGAAGTTCGTGGAAGTATAGAATAGATGACCTTCTCAAATGGAGGTGGTGGGCCACTACTATGAACCGTAGAGCAATGTGCAGCCGATGTTTAGCCAGAGCGGTACGAACTACCGGGTGGGATGCGGGCGATCACCAATCGGTGATGAGCATGTGCGGAAATGTCTGAGGTCGGCGGCGGTGAGTGGTTTTGGTATGAACCCACTTTGGACGATAGTAGTGATGGCCGGAGAGGGTATTCGCTGTGGGGCCGGTCCGGTGTGCGGGGCTATCTTCCTCCGGTGAGCCGACTCTCGGGGGGCTTGTGAGGGCTGACTTCGGATTCGTTCGCCGAGGTATCCTTGTTGGGAAAAGGGGGGATTCGGCTCACTTAGGGCTAAGGTGCCTTTGAGTTCGCCGGCGAACATTCGCTGCATTTGTGCGTATCGGTGGGGTGTACTGTGAGTGCCTCGTGGAAAGCCTGCTGATTTCTTGCCGATGTGAAGCTTCGGAGGGAGTGGCCGCGCATTAGGATGACCAATGGCCAGAGCCGTTGCATGGTCATGCCGCCTAAATTAGCACTGGTGGCGGGGCCATCTTCGGTGAGCTGTCCAATTTCACATCGCCTCTCTTCTTCTTCTTGTCGCCATTTCCTTCCCGCGACTGCATCACCCAGCACCAACCCAGCAGATATAACTCAACTTACCACAGCCGTTTGTTCGAGTTGTGGAGAAGCAAGATTACGCCGAAGTAGCAAGTGGAGTGACCGCGGATGAGGCTCAACACGGCAGTTTGAGAAGAGTCCCGCAACTCTGCATCTTGCACTACCTTACCTTAGTATGCATGCCATTTATGTATGGCTCGCAGTAAGGTAGGAGAGTTGAGCTAACTTGCATGGTAAGGCTACCTTAAGGTACCTAAACAATCCCACGTCAGCAATGCTCCGCGTCTTTTGCGCAACAAGTTGCTCTAAGTACGCTGGTAGCACATGCTCGGGCAGTTCCCATGTTTGCTTGAACTTGGGAATTTCCCACCGAGTGTCATGTCCTTGTCTATTCCTACTCATCCATTATGCGTGACATCATCGCACCACCCACCTCTCGAATATACGTGCGAAAACCCTGCACTTGACACATACCGAAAAAGGTAGGGGAACGACATCGGACCGCGTTACCTTTGTCCTGACGGTAATCTACAAGAGAAACGGGGTGTGTACCCCGCCCGTTTCTCATAGAAAGCAAACCAGAAAGGGTCGAGGATCTCCAATCTTTCGTAGGTCATGAAGTGCCATGTTGGTCAGCGACATACCTAGATAAGGTACTCCAATTCCCCAGCCGCCTTCGAATGTGACGGCGGTGCAGCAAACCATCTGCCGTGTTACAACCGCACACAGGCACGGTACTTCACTCAAACGCTGTGACCTCCAACCCTCTCTACCTTAATCCCGCGGCCTTCTTCTGCGTTCCGGGACTCTTTGACCTAGTCATCAGACTGAGCTTACACAATTTGCCCGGAGCTAAGCTCGAATATTTTCCCTCGCTCATACCGAAATCCCTTTCTCGGCATCGCCACGGTAGAAGCGAGCCCTTACATCTACGGCCACTGCTGTTGTATTTGTACGACTTTGCACTCCGCGTCGGCTTGCCATTGTAGCAAACTTCTGACCACCAACAACATAAAGTTCCGCTGTCATCACTACCTCAGTGCCGCCAGCCTCGCGGAGACTCTGTACCGCCGAGTTCATTAGACCTTTCCAGGCTGAACAACTTTTCTTGACGGCTCGATCGACTGGTTTCGAAGACTTCTGCTTCCAACGAAACCGCGCCGATATTCCTCCAAAAACTATCAAGTCTCGCACACCACTTGGCATAGTTATGTCTAGGTACTACGAGCACGAGATCCGGGAGGACCGCCCCCGCAGCCCAAGCCACCATCGCCGCGACGACCCACCTCCCGTCACGAGGGAGTACTCCCCCGAGTACTACTCCGGCGGCGGCGCCGGTTCCATCCAGGTAGTCTATCCGGATAGAGGCCCCGTCCCGATCGCCAGCGGCCCTTACATATCGGGTGCCATCCCCGTCGACGCTCCTCCCCCATTCCATCCATACTACCCTCCCGAGTCACCACTCTCCCCCCGTGACTCAAATGCCTTACAGCTTCCGCCCCAATCTCACTATCGCCCACGCTCCCTTCCACCTCAAGCATACGCAGTAGGCAGACCACGCTCGCGTTCACGCCCACAAAGCCCCATCGGCAAAGCCCGCCACGCGGTCGACCACGCCTTCACCCAGTCATCCTCGGGCATCGGTGTAGGCCTCCTAGGCGCCGTCGTCGGCGGTCTGGCAGCGCGCGAAGTCTCCGACGCCACCGTCCGATCGCGGACTCGCAAAGAAATGGAAAACGGCACATACCGCCCGCGCTCACCTCGCGAGGCGGAGAAGGCACGAGTGATTTCCACCGTCGTCGGGGCTCTTGTGGGCGGCCTCGGCGCCAATGCCATCGAGAGACGCTTCGAGGCTGCTCGTGAAAGGGACAGAGAGCAGCAGCTGGCTTGGGAGAGGAAATGGGGAAGGGGAAGAGACCACGACGTGGATCATGGTAGAGGGCGTCTGCGCAACCGGTATCGAGACGAGTGGAATGATGGGTACCCCGACTATGGGTATGAAGATCGTCGTGGCAGAAGACTGCGGAGCGAAGAGCGCCATCCGTACAGGAATTGAGATAGCCGGGACAAGCTTGTGAATGAAAACCGTTTTACGACCTGACGACTAACGATTTCTTTTTCTTGAGTTCACAATGGGCTCACTCTTTGACAGACCGATGCCCGACCCTTCGATTGCTTTGCTGTGTTTGGGATAGGCTGGACACATCTGCCTTGTCAGCGATCCTCATCTGTCCGCTAGATATGTGCTTGTAGGGTATGTCTTCCCCTATAGAAGGAACCGAGCCTATACCTGCTGTCCTTTCTTCTCTGACTCAACCGATCCTATGCATCGAACTTTTTGACGGAGGGGATTTCTCGGGAAAGCTACCCCATGAAGCAAGACTAGTTATATCACATGTTATACACCTTCCTTACGAATGTCTCAACAAAGTTATTGCTACAATCATGTGTTCCAGCCTACAGAATCCGTGCCGCATATCCTCATTCTCATCAATTGCCATAGAAGTAGTGGCAAGTTCATAACGCGTATCCCATGTGTCATCTAGCAGTAAGAGCAAAGCAACGGCTGGCTGAAGCATACTAAGCTCAAACGCCAGCACACTAAGCAAGGCGCGTAGCCCCGAGGCTGACTCATTTTCATCCATCTCCCTTCCGTTCCATGCCGTGCAACCTTTGCCCATCAGCCTCATGTTCGACCTTTCGTAGACGTTGTCAAGCCCATTTCAGTTGTTGTAAGCTATACAGCATCGAAAAGAGCCAGACTGTGACGGCTCAGTTGTTGTATCGAAGGGTCTCCTTACCAACATCGTAACCGTCGGGGATCAGGTGAAGCCCACCGTAGGGATCCGCGCCTTCGACCAGCTCCCTGGATGGTACCCACTGACGATCACCCTGTCCATGCGGCAGCGTTTGCGCAGAGTTATCGCGATCTAGCTTAGCTCGGTAAGCCTGCTCCCTCTCCACAATGACCTTGAAGAACTGGGCTATTTCGGCAATGGCTATCTGCTGCGCCTCTGAGCATCCAATGGTGTTGCAGAGAGATTGCGAGTCAACAAGCTGCTTAGCAATGACGGAATCAGGCTGGCAGTAGGTACGAATGCGCAAAGATCGTGCGTTGATTTTCATCGCGTGAAGCAGACCAGCGATCTCCATCGGGTTGCCTTGACGTCGGCCAAAGAACTGGAACTCGTCAATGTGTAGATTAACGAGATCAAGTTGTGTTTCAAGATCGTAGCGAAATCCCACAACTCTTGGGCGGCCCTGCTGCGTCCATCCATCGGCAATTTTCTTGAGTTTGTCAGGGTTCAGACGACCATGGTTCAACTCATTCGTGATGTAGGCATGCAGTGCGTTGCTGATATGGAACTCGAGCTCGCAGTAAAGGAGACTCTGCTCACGGGGATCGAGAGAGATCGTGACTCTCTGGACTTTTGCCTCTCTCTCCATATCCCTAGGCCTCCGAGTAGTCTTGCTTTCAGTCTGTCAGTTGGTTAGCTAGATGACTCGAGATATGAACGCTAAAGTGCAGGGATGTCTACCATTTCCTTGGCAATCTTCTTGAGGTAATCAAGAAGTCCGGGTTTCTTTGGGGACCCGTCCTTTCGCTTGCGGTCGGGAGTGTTGTCGGGTCGCTCAAGCCATCCTTGCTCGCCAATCAGGGTCTTACCCGCAATCCTCTGTACGGGAAGTTCCTTATAGGCGAAGTAGGGCCGTAGAGGAGAGTATATGTCACTTGCGTCCATGACTGGTTGTTTGAGAGCTTCCAGTCTACCCTTGGGCGGGCCACGGCCTTGAGCACTCCCTCCGCGACCGCCCATATCGGAAACGAGTGCCGGGGCCTTTGAATCTTTCCAGCCGCTGTACAACTCCAACACATGCTTAATGTGTCGCGGGATGTCGTCTCTGTGAATCCGGAGAGGGCTCGGATGGCCTTCACTCTGGGAGTAGATAGAAGATGACTCTGCTTGGACAGTTCCTGCGGGAAAAGAGCTATCAGGGGTTATGGGCGGACGGACAGAGGGCATGCCGCCAGCATTCTCCACAATAGACCCATACTGACGACTGTCTTGAACGTTGACTGGTTTGGGTGCATGTTGCTGGCGACGCTCAGCCAGACTCGATGCCAGAGAGCCCTTGGCCTTGTGGCCCTTGGGAGGTGAGATCGGCATCAACTCTGAAAAAGTAGTCGAGTCGCTTTCGTGGCCCTCCTCGAGAGGTCTGTGTTGGGGTTTGGCTTTGTTGGCAGACTTCTGATGGTGAGGGTCTCCATGACCACGGGGCAGAGATTGGGGTTCAGTGAGAGCTTCAGCGAAGTCAATATGTCGCTCGGGCGACCTAGGCCGACTGAAGTTATCCACTCGGCCACGGCGAGATGGCGACTCGCTTGTACTATTGAACCTTGTCACTTGTCAGTTGCAGGTTCAAGTCTGCATCCCCTGGAAGCGAATACTCACACGTCGGTCAATCTGTCCATCTGGTTTTCAGTCAAATTTAGATTGATTTGCACTGACTTGTTCGGCTTGTGCTTCTGAGGTGACGGTGATCGATGCTTCTTGGGCGAAACTGGGATGAAGCTACCCTTGATTGCGGAGGGTACCGCCACTCGACCTTTGCCTCCCGACATCTCTGAGTCTTGTGTCATGATGGGGAGATCAGTCGATGTCGTTGACGTTGTTTCTCGAGTACGGCGCCGATCAGAAATTCGAGAGCCAACAGAGCGGGATTTACGTTGACGTTTGGTTTCGATGAGGTTCCCAACCCTTGAACGGAATGAGTCCTCGCGGAAGTCGGGTCCCGCACGTCGATCTATTGGCAGTAGCAGAGAGCGAGATCTTCGAAGGACAAGCCGAGGAAATGGGCCGACAAGTTCAGGGTCTTCGAATTGACTCGTCCGAAGTTCCGAAATCCAAGCCTCGATCCGACTGCGATAAGATGAAGGGTCTGAGATGAAGAAAGTTAGCTTTCAGCGCATCGCCGAGGATCAAGAAGGAGGAGAGATGGGTGTTGGGAGAAGTGGAAGTGGACTTCACGTGGCAACCTGCCGGAAAATGAAGCAAGCGTCTTTGTTTACATACCTCTTTGTGGAAAAATGGCTTCCAGGTTAACTGAATGTGCGGCCTGATCCCAGGCGGGGCGCTGGTCTATTCGATTGGAATACACAAATTAGCTACAATCTGGCCCAGCGGGATGAAGAGGGGTGACGATGGCCAACGACGAAAGACAACGGACAGCCATGGACGTAGAAATAGTAGATGCTGCTCACTTCAACGGTTTACCTACCTTCAAGTATCAGGGAGGAGCGCCGCCCATTGGAGTCTTCCGATAACGAGACATCATCAGTTCTTGGCCCCGACTTGTGTGCCATCGAGGATAATGACTGATTCCTCGCATCGCTAGCTACTTTGCATTAGTTATGTCTTCTCAAGCATCTCACAAAACACCTACGTAGAAAGGGTTGCTCCAGTAGCTGTGTACCGAGATGTGCCAATGGTTCAGAGACAGCGACCTGTTCTAGGCTTGGAGATGATCGCGTCTTTCCTTGCTCTGCCCATATATCTTCCGCTTGATAGTCGCTGTAGGATGCCTGAGATCCAGGGACAGCGCCAATATCTGCTTGCGAGCCATTATTTGAGCCCGAGGGAGAACCGTCATGCTCAACATAGGCGTAGAAGGCCGAAAGTGACGGTTGATGCCGCGCTTGAGTGACGGGTATTAGTTACGAAGATCTCAACCCTAGCTAATGAACATCAGAAAACACCTACTAGATCTCATGGCATCCTGCCCTTCAGAAAAACTTGGCCTTGACGACGTCCTGGAGCAAGAAAGCTTCTCTAATCGATCGCTCGAGTCCATCTCGCTGGAGCGAGAACCCCGTCCGACGTCACGAAGGACGGGTTGTTGCTTTGTGATGGTCAGCTCTCGAGCTTTCCCAAGCATATCTTCCGTGGCAGTTTTCCGGCCTCCGTCATTATCGGGAGGGCTACAGATCTTGAATAGAACCACAAGTTTGGCTGGAACGGTTGGGCTGCGAAGTTGGCCAACTGATGGAGCAAGCCGCAGTTTGTGGGTCTCGATCTCGACGATGGTGACAGGGTGTATCCTTGGTTTGTCTACTACCAGCCATCGATCATCAGGAACACCACGCTCTCCGCCGGCGTGGGAGAACCTGGGCGAATCCTGCCATTGCCCAAAGTGACGCGCAGGAGACCGGATGGTCTGTGAGTTCGAACGAAAATTTGTTGGCGCTTGTAATCCGTCGCTCCTAGCGGCGACCCCGCATGGTGTGCGCACCACACTCTTGCGACGGGCGCGGTCTTGGTCTAACGGGCTCGTGCCGACATCGTCGTCTGCGGTACCATCTAGACCGAACCAATTACTGCTAGAGAGAGGATGGTATTTGTAGTCGCGCTTCGTGGAGTCGCCATTAATCATGCCCGGTGACCTTTCGGCGCCGATGCTCCGTGCATTGGGACTCTGTCTTTGAGTATCGGACTCTGGAGTAGCGAAATCAAGACCGAACCAGTCGTGGCCGCGTCGGGATTTTGGTGTTCTGATTTGCTTGGGGGAACTAACATCGCTTTGCCTACGAGGACCGGCAGCTGTCTCGTGAGTTAGGAGTCGGTTTGCGCGGGATGGCGCAGCAGCATGGTCGACAAAGACCCGCCGATGGTCTAGTCCACCATCAAAGCCAAGTTGAGGCGTGAATGGGCCACGAAACTCCTAGGAAGGGCCCATCACTCCCTGCACGGCAGCATCCGCCAGCAGTTTCCTGGCCTTGATATCCGCTGTGGGCATCATCTCGTGAGACATAGACAACGGCATAGGCTGATTGTCGGCTATCAAGGAAAATTTCCTAGCGAAAATCGCATGCGGCGCCACGCAGCCTTCGGGCAATGGAACGGGTTTCAGATCAGGAGATTCTCTAAAGGAGAGAACGGTCTCTAGTCCAAACATGTTCGAGAACCAACTGAGGCGTTTGCTCCTAGGCGGCGGTCCTCCGGCATCTGGTGACATCAAAGTGTCCCTTCTCTTTCTAAGCGCACGAAGGAGAGACAGAGATCTTCTGAGGTCTGATCTGTCCATAGGCACAACATAGTCATCGGGGCTGTCGTTCAAGTCTTTCGTCTTCGCCCCTTGGTGAATTGAAGTAGTCAGGATGACTTCTTCTTCTTTGATAAACCTGCCAGCCTTTCCGGTGCCAAGCTGCCATTGCATTTCATGCAGCTCCTTAGGATTGGGACTGCGGAAAGCACAGGTGCCACCTTCGCGGGTGGAAACGTACATAGTATGGTCAATCATCCAAGCTTTGCGACTGCGTATGCAACTGGGCTCGTTCGAGCTTACCCTGGTCGAAGGGTAGTAGTCTGAAAGTCTGGTAGGATATCGATGCGGATGCTGCTGGCGCCACCGCACAAGACTAACTGTGGGCCGTATGGACGAGGTGATTGTACTCATATGAGGTATATGGGGCAACTCTAGGTTGGACTACCGTGTTGACGTTAGTAAATCTGGATGGACGTGTACTTGTGCTCCCAGCTTACATGTCGATTGAGATGATCATGCTTCCAACGTTGAAACTCGGCACCTGGGTCGTCAGAATATTGGCAGTCAATCTCGATCAACTCGTACAGCACACCACCAGCTAGATCCAGATTTTCGTCTCCGAGATGCTCACGCAGAACCAGAAACACCTACCATGGAAAGCGCGAGCTAGGTTTCAGTATTGGCAGAGTAAAGCGGAGAGTGCCCGACTCACAAGTTGAACACCGTCCCGGTATTGATAGTTCCGGGGTATGTGTGCACAATATCTTACGAGGACGTTGCGACATTCTGCGCATACCTTATTAGATATCCAGTATACTCTGTTGGACAGAGTCAACCTACTCCCTTCATCATACCCGTTCCGCGACAGAGTGTCGTGGGCAATTTCGTTTCCCAGCTTGGCAAGCCTTCGCCGCCATTCCTCATCATCAGCCTGTGCAGCTGTCTGAATAGACTCAACCCAGGCTTGAAGGCTTAATCGGTTCCGCATTGTTCTAGGATTCTCCGAAGTAGTCAGAATGATCAACAGTGGTCAGATGGTTTAGACACGGTGATTTGCGTCTCGTGGCGGGCTATTCGTCAGAGCGGTATGCGGCTTTGTCTACTACTTGCTCTATGCCATGGCGGCATATAACTGCGCGTAGGAAGATGTTCTTGTCGTCGTCGTAGCAATCGACCGTATTATCGGCGCTTCATTAGCGTAGATTTTTGGGTTCTTGGCAAGCCTTGGGAAAGACAACAAGAGGAGACAAGCCATAGAGAAGCGAGATGTGAGATCCTCAGCTGCCTTCGCACGTGGATGAAGACGTGGAGATCAGATCAACGCAGAGATCAAAGAGAAGGCAAGTGTGGTTGTCACCGTTAGGCAAGTACGTAGGGTAGGTAGGCAGTAAAGGAAAATACACATCTGTTTCAAGATTGGAAGGCGCAAATGCCCCGTCCTCTGTCCCCAAGTTGTCGGCGATACACTGAAATGGAAGGTTCATCCGGGTAAGAAGCCATCTACTCCGACCCGGGTTGAATGTCCCATAACATCAAGTACTCCGTGCATTTCAATCGTAGAGCAAGCTTTTGCTCTTGATGAGGCAGGCCACTCGACCAACTGTGCGACTCATAAACCTGATCGTACCTCAAGCGGTGCTCACTCAGCATGCCTGTTGCCGGCCTAGCCAAATATTGCTCTCTTTCAGCCACAGTGTCTTCACTTGAAGCAAGTGAGAGAACCCTTCTCAGCCAAATCAACAATTAGCCTGTGAAATCCAGCGGTACAGATCATGCCGATCGTTGGGGGGAGGGGGGGGGGGGGTTTAATATGTCTTGAAGGTTGCTATGTCCAGACACATAATGCCTATCGGATATCAGGGTTTCAAGGCTTCCATAGTCTCGAATTAGATGCCAATACGACACCTAGGCCCTTCTGCTGAGCAAGAAGACGAAATACCGCAAAGTTGGGCCTTTGCAAGATAGTCTCGCACAAGCAGTACGTCATCAGTCTCAGTCCAAATGCTGAGATGAAATAGTGCCATAGGGGCAGTACGTTGTCTGAGTTTCTCACGTCGAGAGGATATACTGATTGCAATCAAATGCAGAGCAGGCGCGTATGCTTAGCCTCGTGCTAGGTTGATCCCGTCTCGGAACAGATGGCTAGCGCATGGAGCCTAGAGAACCACCACCCATGGCACGATGCAGAAACTGCAACGCTCTCATGTCCATGCATGTGTTCATGACTTGGGATTTCATTTGGTGAGTCGACACGTTCGTGATGGTAGGAGGGCCGTTGACGATGCGGATAGACTCACTCTAGAGGCTTGATGGTGTCTACTCAGGCAGGGGGTTTTCGGACAGCATCCGTCCAAACTTTGTACCCGACGCCACTGTGGGGCTCCAACATGAACGTTTTTGTCATTTCAAGCTCTAGCTGATGACGAGGAAGTAAAGTAAGGCAATGCAATTCATTGCAAACTCGATGCGCATCGCATGCGCTCCCTTGACTAAATGGTAGCCAGTCCATAGGGTACAGAGCTGTGCGCTTCTCTCGATACCGGCGAACTCACCATCGTGACGCCTTCCAACCGGAAACATCAGCCGCAGTCACGTGTGTTTTCGCACAGCGCCTGGCATTACATACCACGACGAAACCAATGTCACTTGATTTGTAGAGTGCAGTGGAGCTAAGCGGACACGCGGAGTAAGGTACCACGGTACCCCATCTAAGGTAAGGTAAGATAGGTAGGTTGAGGCAACTCCAAAGACACCCTGTCGTTCATTCCTTTTTCGTTCCACAGTCCACTCCATTGCAATTGACATTTCGGTTCGGTCGGTGCCAGCGGCAAGTGCCCTCGGGGTGCAGCTGCACCGTCTTTTCCCCGCACTTTGCCTTCTCCAACTTCCGAGGACCCCAAGTCTCAAGATAGCCATCCTTGGGAAGAGCCAGACTATGATTGGGTTTGATTGGGCAGGTGGGGTCTTGAGCTAAGCTTAGCTGTCCCGAAACATGTACCGACCACCTCCCAGATGCCGTCTCCAACTGCCTTTTTGGCCCTTAATGGTGGGAGTTGCTGAGGCAAAGGTACAACAACCAAAACAGCCAATCTGGACCGCCCCACAGCCAACTTGCCGACTTGACTACCCGAGTCTCTTTTGTCAAGTCTGAACTCCCCCAAGCAGGGATGCCCAGCCGGCCAAATCAGTAGGTGGAAGCTTCACTCAGCAAAGCCTCCCGGTTCCCCTCGGAAGTGTCTCCATGACGTGCCTGCCACGCCTACGGGTCAAGCACGCAGGCCTGTACGGATAGCATGGCCGTCCTATTCCCATAACCCATGATTGGCCAGACTCGAGGCCCTTTTGATGGGCAGCTACAGGCGCACATGGCCACATCCGTGACTCTGGGTGCCAAAAGCCACCCAGAGTGGCACCTCAGTGTGGGGATTTGGAGTTCCCGGCCTACGTTGCCGTCCCCAGTCTGCTTCCCGATGTCGATGCCGGCCTCTTGGTCCCCTTCGGATCGGTCTCACTGTCAAGTGGTCCACGGATAACTCCCCGCCGTCTATTCCATCCATGCCCCGATTGACATCTCTCCGCCAATCGGTCTTCTACTATATATAAAGCCAACGCGCCGCCTGCTCCCCTCATCCTGAAGACTCTTCACTAGACGGCACCATCCTTCTCTGACTTCTGGGCGCAACGTTCCCCTCTATTGACCGAACTTTGGAAGCCCCGCAAGCTGTTCATCCGCTCTCATAGACTTGCCATTATCAATTCGATTGACTAAAGTTTAAATTTCCTATCTGTACCATGGAGACACAACCCGATCGCCAGTCAGGCACCTACTATGACATTGGTAAGTCAAGTTCCTGCTGCCTGAATTCGCGTTGAGCTATCCGCTGATACATCCTCCCAAAGTCATTGTAGGTGCTGGGCCTGTTGGCCTGATGCTGTCAACCATTCTAGCCAGATGGGGATATAGAATCAAGCACATTGACAATCGAGCCGAACCGACACCAACCGGAAGAGCTGACGGCATTCAACCACGTTCTCTCGACCTTCTTCGTAACATGGGCCTCAAGTCGGCCATCATGGCACACAAGCCCGCCAGAGTCTATGAGGTCGCTTTTTGGGACCCGCCCAAGTCGGGCAACGGAATCGCCAGAACGGGAACCTGGGCGAGTTGCCCGGAGTTCATCGATGCCAGATACCCCTTCACGACTCTCTTGCACCAAGGCCATATCGAGCGCGTTTTCCTGGGCGACCTGGAGAAGAACGGCGTGCAGGTTCAGAGGCCCTGGACCATTACGGGTTTCTCATCAAACGAGGCCGAAAACCCTGAGTACCCTGTCGAGGTTAAACTTGAGCATGTCGATGGGACCGCCCAGGAAACGCTGCGTGCCAAATATCTCTTTGGCGGCGAAGGTGCTCGTTCCTTTATCAGGAATCAATTACAGATTGGCATCAAGCACAAGGATCCCATTTCTTACGTATGGGGTGTCATGGATGGCGTTGTTAAGACCGACTTTCCTGATATCAAGGTAAGCAGACGTGCTGAGGTTGATTCTATTCGGTCTCGTATTGATTTTTGAATAGATGAAATGCACGATCCACAGCAAGCACGGTTCCATCATGGTCATTCCCCGAGAGGACAATATGGTCCGTCTGTACATTCAAATTGCATCCTCGACGGATCCAGACTTCGACCCACGCAAGACGGCAACCGAGCAAGAAGTGCAGGAGTCGGCTCAGCGGATTCTTCAGCCGTATTCCATCGAATGGGAGAGAACGGAGTGGTATTCAGTGTACCCTATCGGGCAAGGAATTTCTGACCGCTACACTCTCGATCAGCGGGTTTTCCTTGGAGGCGATGCTTGCCACACCCACAGCGTATGTGACACACACAACATTGAAAATAAGCTTCTTTACTGACTAGAGCATCAGCCCAAAGCCGGCCAAGGCATGAACACGGCGTTCCTTGACGCCCAAAACCTGGCCTGGAAGATACACGCTGTCGAGGCTGGATTCGCACAGCGCGATATTCTCAAGACCTACGAGACTGAGAGAAGGGACGTGGCTGAGACGCTGCTCGACTTCGACAACAGGTACGCTAAGCTGTTCTCTCAACGACCTGATGCCGCAAGCGAAGCTCAGGCGGCTACCGAGAACGCCGGCAAGGAGCAGTCCGAAAACGCTTTCATCAAGACCTTCAAGGAGTCTTGCGAATTCACGAGCGGTTATGGCGTAGCCTATAAGCCAAATGTGTTGAACTGGTCCGAATCGCACCGGGCCAAATCATCCTTGATCCACCCCGAGGGTACGAAGCTCCGCACTGGCCGTCTGTTCATGAACGCCGATGTTACGAGGGTCGTCGATGCCAATGTTGTCCATCTGGAGCAAGAAATTCCGCTCAACGGTTCCTTCCGTATCTTCGTCTTTGCCGGAAAGCCTTCTATAACTCGCAAGGCCCTCGGAGATTTCGCCAATCACCTCAACAATAAGCGCTCATTTTACACCGCCTATGTCAGAGAAGACGTGGACAGCGTGTCACATCACGAGCAGCACAACCCTCACAGCAAGTTCTTCTCATTCTGCACCGTCTTTTCGGCAAAGAGAAGCAGCATCGAGATTTCGCGCGATGTCCCAGAGGTACTGGGGCGGTACCGCGATCATGTATACGCCGATGACAGGTGGGATCGCCACGTGCCGAACGCAAAGGCTGCTGCGCACGCCAAGTTGGGTCTCGATGAGGAAAAGGGTGGCGTTGTTGTTGTGCGTCCTGATGGTTACGTTGGTATGGTTGCGAAGCTAGTGGAAGGCAGCGGCACAGTCGATGCACTGAACGAGTACTTTGGCACATTCTGCACCAAGAAGCTCGGGGAGACGCTGGCCCAGCTATAATGCGCCTGGGTAGGGTAGGACGAGAGCGTCTGACAGTAGGAGAGGTTTTCAGAGAAGTTGGTGTACAAGTACTGAGTTGGGTTACTAGTTACTGGCGTACTGGAGCGAAACATGAGCTGGATTTCTGCAAGAGAGGGGAGGCTGTTCCGACTTCACCTTTCAGGATGAATAGACATCATAGCACCGTCTGCAAATTTATTTATCATGAGAAAGAAATGCATGCCATCTCTCCATCGATTATAGAGTGCAACTGACTTTCTCAGAAATAAATACTTCACGGAGGTTGTCGAGATTCAGCGGATGCCGATGGATATAAGTACAAGCAGCTTGAAAAGAAGGGGACTTAGATGCTTAAGGTACTCAGGCGTGCCAGGGATCTTATCTACGAGAGCTGCCTGAAGGCAAGCTGCAGGCCACTTGCGGTTAATCTACCTTATTGATCAGCAAACTACCTATACCTTACCGTGCCGAACTTCGAAGCTGTTTCGCTCCTTCCGCTGCTTGAAGCGTTGGGTGCGCACCTCTTGAGCTAGTGGGGCGGGCAACAGAGCTGCCAGAAGAATAAGGCGGAGCTAAGGTACCTTGGGTAGTTGCTTAGGTAGGTACCTTCCCTCAGTGGAGGTAAGAAGGATGATACGTCGCGAGGAAGGTACCCTAGGTACATCATCTACGTACCTTAGGTAAACACCACCTGCATCGCAACTTCCATTCTCAAATTCAATCTCCACCGTGTCTGCCGTCTGCACCTTCCTTCCTCCAACGAGCAACTCTTTGAGGCGCGCATGCCTTTTCGACCTCTCGCTGCTACCTACATTGAGCATCTTTCTCAATGAACAGCAGTGTACCTTCTTCTTCTTCCACAACAACAAAAGCACGTCGCCTTTCGACCCCCCCAACTCCTCCCCGATCCCCCACCTGCAACCAATTTCAGCCGTCCATCACGACCGATTTCTAGCATCGCGACACAACCCGCCTTCCGATCCAGCCAAGCGCTTTCGCACCAATTCTTGATCGCGCAGCTTCAGAAGCACAGTAAACACCCCGGAATTCAATTTTTTTCTTTTTCGCTTCGTCGCACCTTTCATATTCGCCTGCTTCCTGTCGCGCTGGTCAAAGTTGACCTTCACGATGCTTTCTACTTCATCTTCAAGCCTTGCACCTTCTAAGCTGACCAACATGGCTCCAGAGCGACAGCAGATACCGAGTCGCCGAGGCTTCCCCCCGAACCCTCAAAAACTAGCCGACTTCTTCGATCCTCTCAGACATCGTCGAGAAACATCACCCGAGATCGAGAAGCCCAGAACTTACAGACCCAGTCCTATCCAAACCCCCCTCGTCAACTCCCTCGCCAACCCAGGCCTCAATCACCGCGGTCCCCTCTTCGGTACTAATGCTACTCAGCAACTGACCGCCTATACTCAAACTACCAACAACCCCAATATCGTCCACACCCAAGTTCCAGTTGCGCAGTCGCCCATTGCTCAAACTGAGCACCAGAAGCCCCAGAAAGCACATCATCTGACAGACGCTACGCTTAGGAAGGCCGTGGAGTCTTCTGGCTCAGCCAACACTGTTCACTCGCCTCACAGAGATCGAAAGCCCTTGCGTGGGATTTTGAAGAACGGACCCGCCCTTTCCACGCGATCGTCGGGACCTACCGGCTCTTCTCTCTTCACACCGGCTGCAGCGAAGGTCAAGAAGTTACGATTCCGTGCTCAAGCGCGCAGCGCAGGACTGAGCCTCTCAAAGAACCGAAAGTACAATAGGTTCCCTGCGGAGGATCCCTTCGTTCGCCAGCCCCCTATTCAGGCGACACCCTTCCCCAAATCTCAGCAGTCCGCATATCTCAGACCGGCAACTACTCTATGGAGACCTGCGCCGAAGGCTTTTGATATCGCCGCGACTCTTCGGCACCGACCTACTCTACACAAGCCATCCCCAGCTTCTCACGTCGCCGCCTATCGAGCACGCCGCCGTAGATTGAAGGACCTCGTTGTCCAGCAAGAGGGAAGAACCGATCTTTTTGGCCCGAGTGGTCCAATTCCCAAGCCAGCCCAAAGAATCCAGGGTAATCATACTACTATCGGAAGCGTCTCCACGAGGAAGTGCTCCCAACTATCCTCGAGCTTCCATCTCTGCAACTCTAACTCAGAAGCCGAGTCGAAGTTTGAAGACACTGAGTCCAGCTCGGAATCCAGTTCGGAATCCAGCTCGCCATCCGTGGTGCCCCCGGGTGCTTGGTCATTCAGCCCAGGCCAACAAACAATCATCATCCCTCCCAACGAACCGATACTCATAGAAGTGAACGACGGTTCGGCAACTAGAAGAATCTTTGTTCGGGGATCGCGCCAGAAGACGATCACAGTTCAACCTATCGAACAGGAATCACGGGCTCTGGACCAAGGTTCACCTAAAACGACCACGACACGAAAGCGACCGGCTAAGGACTCAGAGTTTGACCTCATTCTGGCGAATGCGACGGATGGGAGGGAGCCTCTGCAGGAGCCGCTCGCGAACGCTCGAGGCGCTGCCGTTCTGGACTCAAACGAAGAAGACGTACGTTGTTTGGTAATCTTACATCAGGGCTGGTGCTAATCATGCGTGACAGAGACCTCGAGCTTATACGAACTGGCTCACCAATATCATGACATCAGTCCGTGGCACGGTCACAAAAGTCTCCAACAGCCTTGTTGGCTACGGTTAGCCTGCTTCAAGAAGACAATCACGAGCCCGTTCTAATTCACTCACAGTGTACCCCCGCAATCATAATCTTATCGCTGTAGAGCGGCTCTCCCGTGGTCAGCAGAATGGCAACACTGGCACGAAGCGCATCAGATTGGAGGTTGTCGATGATTTTGCCGATGAGAGCTTCACTCCAAATACGGAATCATCCAAAACCAACCTCATTTGGGTAGATGAATCGACGCGAATCGCATACTGGCATCACATAGCCCCTCTTGTCCGCACCTTGAGGGGTATCTGCCACCGAATCGAAAAGAGGCGGTCGCAATCCAGGGAAGGGTCCCCTATCACTCGACTGGACGACCAAACCCAGGAGCAGCAAATTTATGTCTTCGGCCCCTACCTTGACACTTTCCGGCAAACTGCTTGGATAGTTGAGAGTGTCTACTCTCACACGTTCTTGGCAGGTTTGAAGACGAACTTCAAGGCCCCCCAGTCGGTCATGGACTACACTTTCAGCCCTGAAGAAAACCTCGCCATTACCGTGGCTCAGCGCTTATTCGAGCATTTCCCTGATGAATGCAATCCTGTGCTGGTTGAGGCTGGCGTCTCACGCCGCATTATCAAAGGAATCAGTGCTGACTTAGCCGCTCTGGCTAGTCGAAAGCCAATGCCTGGACTCGTTCAACGGGCTGGCTTTGTTGGCAAGGTCATGAAATTTTTCCGAGGGCGTGAAAGCTTCGGCATTGAAGTATCTGAGGACCCGATCTCAAGGATCGACATCGCAATGCCCGGTAGCTTTCCAGATATCCAAACCAACATCGAAGCTTTGGGTGAGGTGGAACCTTCCATCAAGGCCACAGATCAACGACAGATCCCGCCCGCCCAGGAAATCATAAAACCAGGAAGTTACTGCCCTCCTGCAAGAACTACGGAAGCGTACACGTTTGTCAAAGACCAATTGGCCGACATCGCATCCCAACGCAGAGCTGCGTACAAGAATGCACCCCCAGGCATTGTACCAGACGACTTGGTCTGTAGACCAAGCCCCATTTCTGTCCTCAAAAGAGACAACCATTCACCTGCTTCACTGAAGCGACTCCAGAAGTCAAGAGGCCTCAAAAGAGTGCAATTCTCACCATCCGCCAAGCAGTCTACCCCTTCACCGGCGAAATCAAGGGGCTTCCTCAGCCGAATTTTCGGCTCTCCTACCGTTTCCGAATCACCACTGGGACGACACGTTGTTGGTGCCAGCCCTCTGAGCGATTCTCAGGTTGACGGCTCGTCAGACGGCCCTAACACTACGATGCCGAATCGGTACTCTGGCGCCGCTCCAAAATCTGACGATGTATCAGAAGAGAGCGACAGTGAGGAAATCGCGGCTCGCTGTCAGCCTCAATTGCTGGAGCATCTCAACAAATCCTTGAATGGCCTTGAAGCTAAGGGATTCTTCGCCAAGGGCGAACCGCAGGACTTGTCATCCAGCCCTTCCAGCCCACTTACACCCCCGACCCTGGCAGGTCTGACCATCTCGGACGACAAAGAGGAGGAACTTGAAGATCTCTCTCTCGCCCTGCAGCTATTGCTTGATGTCGACGAGGCACGCCGAAGAGAGGAAGAGGAGAAGAAAGCTAGACAGGCAAAGGAGGAGAGATTGTTGAAGACCGGTGGACTTCGCGCTCCCCAGAGACCTTTAGTCACCTCATTACCGGCTGAATGGGCTGAAAAGGTGCAAGCCACGATGCAAGCCAATCCCTCGCTGACACTCGCGACGACGGCTGAAAGTGTGCCCCTCAAGAAGCACGATTTCGCCATGGTAGTTCCACCAACTGTGTGGCTCAACGACGAAATTGTGAATGGCGCATTGCAATGGCTGGATCGATACGTCAATGTGGCCGCAGGCGCCGTGGACGTGAAGGCACCGAACCGAGTGTGCGTCGCCATGGGCTCATTTTTCTACAAGAGACTGGAGGAGAACGGTGTTCAAAACACTGAACGAGCACTTCGCCGTTACGGAATCAACAAGAACAATTTTCTCAAACTGGAGACGATTCTCATGCCGATCTGTAAGAACAACCATTGGACATTGCTCGTCATCCGGCCCAAGAAGCGAACTGTATCGCATATGGATTCCTTCAACCCTGCGGGCTCATCCACGCATACTACTAGAGCCTTGAACTGGGTCCAGGCCTTCCTGGGCGGTGACTACAAGGCTAGCGAATGGAAAGTAGTCATCCATGAGGCTCCTATTCAGACCAACGGATACGACTGTGGTGTCTTCACGATTACCAACGGAATGTGTCTTGCACTTGGCCTCAATGCCATCGACGCCTACTCGGGCGAGGATTTGCCAGAACAACGCCTAAGAATCGCCGGTATGCTTCTCAACAAAGGCTTCAGCGGCGAATTTGACCTCGCCGATCTCTGAAACACCAATACACACCTTCCAAGCTTGTTTGATGGACCCGAGGCCCCCAACGGACTTTAGGACCATCAAAGAATCATACTGTTGAGCAAAGCCGAAGCAGGGTGATGGAAGGATGAACATCGGCGTTTGGCTGGACATACCAGCTGGGCTACTTTTCTATTGACATTACTATCTTTATTCGTGAGAGGGACATGTGGTTTTCGGGTGGTTAGGCGTTGTCTAAAGATATTGGGAGTTTCGGATGGATACCACGGGAAAGCCCGGTGGATAGGCTTGTTGGAGTTCTTTGTACAAGTGTTCATTTGAATGTATGTCGGAACACTACCGTTTTTGCCTGACATCTCGGCAAGATAGATGAAAAGAGCACCCGTTTCAAGTTTGCACAAGACCCGATCATGAGAAAAAGAACTACCCGATATTGCGCTGTCCAGTAGAAATCTGTGAATCCCTTCGCAGGCGCCCAGTGACGAGTTCATCCGCATCAACGACATGTGTCAGCCTCCGGTCCCTTGACTTGGTCGAAGGAGCCCAGCCGGCTGGACTTTGTGTCAACCAAGTTTCCAATCATCACATGGGTGCCCAATATCGGATCCGGGCAACTGTGCGTTGCCGAAGGCGATAGAATGGATATCGTGACAGCTCGTTAGATGTAGTCCCACTCCATGGGACCACTCAATACTACACGCTTACTGTGTACCTACCTGCCTGCCTGCCTGAATCATTTCTGTCTCGTCAAAGGGACTGCCACCCCCAATGGCTCGGGTTCGGTGCCGGCCACGTACAAGAAAGACCTGTAGAGACCGTCCCGATACACGACGTCCTCAAGCCAAGGACCCCTCCTGCTCCTCCTCCTTGCCGGTCTCTTGCCGGTTCCTTGCCGACATTGAATCACGCTAGGCCACTGCGGCAAAAACGCCAAATCCATGACTGATGAAGGGCTAAGCATGATGTTTGCTTCCAAGCCTGCGGGGGACCGATTTTCCGATGGAGGCAACCAGCCCCCCCCCCCCCAAGCGGCAGGCAGACCGAGCCAAAAGTTGAACAAGTTCAGGTTTCAGGTGCGGGACGCCGGCGAGGATCCCTTCCGCGCCGGACTTGTGGGATGCTTGGTTTCCTTGGCTTTTCTCTGATCCACGGTGTCGTGGACTCATGGCTGGGGCATATCGTATCCTAATTCTACAATTCTTCCACTTTACCCCCCTTGCTAGATGGGCCATATCGCCGCCCGCCGCCGCAAGCTCAGATGTCACCAGCAATGTAGGCTGCATTTTCACAAAACATTAACGTAACATCACACATTCGAGCACGCAGTGTAGCGGGGATGCAAAGGCCGGGAGTGTGGACGAAATTCTCCCAGAGAAGCCAACAGTATGGGGAATAGGGGAACCTTTCCCGCTTCGACGCGTTGTCGTTGGGGGCCCAACGGACTCTCTTCTCTTTTCTTCCCTTCTTTTTTTTTTCTTGGAAGGGGCAAAGGTGTTCCCGGCGGTCAAACGGATGTGTGTTCCACGCTACCGAGGATTATGGAGTGAGTCCTGTCAGGCCAAGAGGCGGGCTGACAGCATTGACACCGAAAGAATTCTCGTTGAGGGAAGAGAGGGAAGGGGGAGAAATTGACGAGCGCCACCACCAAACTCCCACGACTCCGTAAACCGCTAGGGTCCAGCTCCCACGATCGACCCAGGGGTTTTGAGCTGTCCCGTCGATTTGACACAAGGTGAGATGGTCGCCAAGGGGGGGGGGGGGCAAGCGGGCGGGAAGAGGTGGGCACGGTTTCTCTTCTCAGCCAGCCCCATCTCCCTTCCGCTTTGCTCCTCGCGTAGACTCGAAAGGGTTTTTGAAGGGGTCCAACGACTCAGGCGGCTGCATTATCGAGCGAATGGCGCTTCCGAGTGGCGAAAATCACCGAGGTTTCGTGGGAAAGGGGGACCGTTGAGATTTCTGTATACTTGGGTAGTACCCGTTTCTTCTTGAGAGACAGTTCTGGGCGAGCGGAAACCCCGCGCCGTTTTGCGCGCATAGACTCCATCTGTCAAATCTTTGATGGCAAGAAAATTGGAACTCGGGTTTCGCCTTTTGCGCCTTCTGGCAGTATTTTCTGCCCGCCTTTGGCCCGCCAAAACAGAGCAGTGAGACTGAAATTGGCGGCGGAGAGAGTCAAGTGACCAGTAGGTAGAACGGCTGTTGGCAAAATCAGTGATCGAATGCCAAGAGATTTTGCTCGCGTCATATTCGTGTGTCTACTTCACGTGTCCGAGTAACATGGAACCCGAGTATCTGTATTCTCATCCTGTCTTTCTCTTCCGCGGCATCAGGGACGGGCGGCGGAGCCTGGGGATAGGGAGATCGACTTAAAGTTCCTGCCGATCGTTGATAGTACGAACCCGGGCACGAGAGCAGGGTCCAGTATCCGTACGGCTGTACTCCGTGTGTCTGTAGTATGTACTTGGACATGGAACGTGAGCGGGTCGTCAAGAGTCATGTCCCTCTGTGTAGGTGGCAGCCTGCCTCAAAAGCGGAATTGGGGGGCATGATGCGCGGAACAAGCAATCCAAGCAAGTTTAGAAGTTGGTCAGAGAGCGGCCTAGTGATTTCAGGTAGCGAGAAAGAAGGACTAGCATCCATAGGTTGGCCATGAGATCGCACTATCTATCGATGAGGTTGTTTACGGTGTTCGGATCCTCGACAAGCGACAGCTCCGGACGACGGCAAAAGGCGATAGCCGAAGATTGCTACACTCGAGATCCAGTCCCTGTACGGAGTACAGATGTCCATCCGACCTTACGCTAGTTGTGGAGATTAGGAGACTCGTGGCCGGGCTGGTGTTTCTAGATTTGATGTCAATGCGGCCGTGGGATTGTGGGCAAATTTGTATCCGTAGTGGTTCGGAGGAAGAAAGTGTGTCAAGAGTCAGTCGAGGTCCCACAGAAAGCACTACTTGAGTAACAAGACCAAGACGTCTAGACCGATGATGACCTAGCAAATGCGAATATCAACAAATTGGGCCTAAAATGTCAAAAAGGAAAAAGTGTGTATGTTGAGATTGCATCCAAGGCCAGGGATGGCACCCGAGGGCTTGGGAGCCATCGGGATTCCTCCCAACAATGGGTATTGACCGTGTAGCGCTCAACGCCATTGCGATACTTGAATCGGCGGCGCGGCGCGACTCGGAGACGTTAACCTATTTGTTGGGTCGGCCGGCCGGGTTCGCCTGGGCATGTAGCCTCCCTTCGTCCTGCGGTAGGAGTTTGAATCGCATTGGGTGCGAAAGTAAGAGCGCATCAAGGGTGCCTTCGGTCTTCCCACCGTTCTACGAAGCTGCGAAGGCTGGGAATTGGGGGCAGTTGAGGTCGGACGTCTTCGTTGGAGCGGATGTCGGGTTCGGGAATGTGTGGGATAGACACGACAAGTATCCATAGAGACCGTCTTTGCGGTGCGATTCGGGGTCCCGGCGACGCCGTCGGCGCTACGGAGATTTTTTTGCATCGTTGGGTCTCTGCATCGTACCGTGGACCATTCAGCTGTTGTGTTTGTACACTGCAATGCGACACGCTACCAGAGCGTAGAACTGGGCTTACTCTCTAGGGATCCTCACATACCACTGTACGGACACACAATGTCTTATTCCATGCTTCAGGTGGTTAAAACCCAAGGAGAAGGACCCAGGTGCATGTGGCCGGCATGGTCCGGGATCAGATGGTTTCGTGGTTGCGGTATTGTACGGAGTAAGTGACACAGAGGCTTCCAAAGTTCCATCAAGCATGCCTTGTCCTCTCTGCATCCAACCAAGTTCCCGGCATGGGTTCGATTGGCTGACAGCTCCAGCCTCCGTGCCTCCGTACAAGCATCCAGGATCAGGAGAGCGAATACTCCGTATCTATAGTTCTATACGGATACAGTAGGGTGTTAAAAGTTCGTGTACTCCCCTATAACACGCCACAGTGAATCCACTAACATACTCTTTTCATAAGTATAATTGTCTCCCGACTCTAAATATAAAGCTAGCAAAATAAAAAAAATAACTATAATATATTTTACAAGTCAATTAATTTTAATATTTCTACTTTATTAGTTTTATACCTAGGGTCGAGAGATAATTTTTTAAAAAATGTTTTTATGGGTTTTCTCTATAGTTAATAATAATAATAATAAGTAGAGAAAAGAAAAAAAAAGTTAACTATATAATTTTGTATTATTGATATTGAAATATCTAATAGTTTAATATAATAACTAAAATAATTAACTAATTAGTTTGAGTATTTAATAATTTTATTTTATTAGCTCTAGAATAAATACAAGTTTAATTCTATATGAATTAATACTAAAATATTTTCTATATTTTTCTTTCATGTTTTAATGTTGAAATCGTGCTTTAATTGGCTGTACAAAATGACCAATTGGGGCGGATACTGTGCGCTGTACACGAATAATTGACACCCCACTGTACGTGACTTGGAAGCTGTACGTTGGCTGGCCTAGGTCTCCGTGGTCTTCTGTGGCTCCAGCGAAGTTTGAACAAGATAACCCATGTCGGATGTCGTTCGTTGGGTGCTGCCACTGCTTCGCCGTGATCGCGTTAGTGTCAGACTTCAGCACTGCGTTCCAGCCGCAGCCGCCGACCAAGCGGAAGAAGTTGTGGTTCCACTTTGGTGCCCGCCAGGAAGCATGAGGCGCAGTGTGCGTTTGTTGGCGCTCCTACGAACGGAGATTTTGGGGCGGAAGAAGGATCGGGATCCAACTGATGGTTGCCAGTTGTACCAGCCATCAACATCAACCAAGATTGGAAAGTTGCTAAGATGGAAGGGGAAGGCTTCCAGAAGCAAATACTTTGCCACGATGGCTTCTTCCTCTTCCGCGAGGCTTCCACGTCCATGCCGCTTCGGGTTTATTGGCAGGGAACAGTCAGACGTGCAGACAGCCCAGGCCTGTTTTCATCTTCTCAGCTTGGGGGCAAGGTTAGGCGGGCGGTAGATCGATAGGGCGCTTAGGCGACAACGAATGCCTACTGGTGAGAGGACGCGAGGAGTACCTACCTAGAGAGAATTTGGCTGCAAATTGCTATGGATTGGTGGCGTGGTGCGTGGGCGGTTGTTGGATGGAGATGTCTCTGGAGTCTGCTGTTTGCAAAAGAGGATTTGCACCGGACGGCGCGGGCAGTCTTTAGACTCACGCAAGCCACGTACCTGTCCAGCTTCCCAGAATATCTTACAACATACCGTTCGGGCCTCTCCACGAATTTTTACCCAAGAGCTCAAAAAAGGAAGTACAGAGTACCTTGGGCAAGTACAGATAGGGTGCTCTTGCGTGAGTTGAAGCATTGAAGACTGAGGGAAGACATGTAAGTTGGAAAAGGGAGGCATGCACAGATGCCGGTAGCACTCTTTCCTAAGGTACCTCGAGCATTTGCTTCTTCATGGAAAGGGCACCGAGGGTGGCCACGAGTACGGTAAGTGCTGAGTGGGTAGGGAGATAGTCAGGTATCTTGCGAAGTGCAGCGGTAGGTATGTCTGCCGCCTGCCGCCTGCGGCCTGCGTGCATAGAATTTCCGCAGGAAGGTTCGACGCACATCCCTTTTTTGCGAGTATGACGACATACCTCAGCATCTCTTGAGACTTGACGCGACCCTTTGTTGATTTTTCCATGCCAACCCCCCCCCCCCCTCCAATATGTGCAGCACAAGAAAAGAAAAAAAAAGGCCTCAACTATTCGCATTCCAATAGTTTGGCTCTTGCATATGTTTTCACGCTACATGAGCATTGCGCTTCCTGCTCACTCACCACCTCTTTCCCGCGTTACCTCCGGTGATCCGTGTCATCGTCCTCCAACATCACCTCTCCGGGCCTTCCCTGACCTTCTTCGTTCTAGATTTATTCCATCCGTCATCCTTGGGACTTTGGCCCGCTCTTGGGGTTGCCACGGTATCTTCAGGCCCTAGCCCCTCTAAACAGTGTTTGCTGATCATCCTGGGGAAGAGCTTGGTAGCAGTCAATAGCTACCTATCGATCGGCATGATGTCTTTCCAATCATGTGACTCGGAGTTGATACATGAAAAACTTTGGAATTTCATTCGATCCGAAGGATTATCGTCATGCCCTGATCCGAATCTTCTTCCCACATACGAGGAAAAGTGCAAAAAGGAATGACGAAGGGGCAGAAAAACCAAAAGTGCAGACAATTAGAGGCTCTTCGCGAACAAGGAGGCCCCAGCGACGGAATCGCCGTTGGACTGGGCTACAAGGACACTTATGCCACGCAGCCTGACCGCAGCCCACGCAACATATCCCCAGCTAATTCCCTCATGGCAATAATCTACATTGTACGGAGTACGGGCACATGCCGCAAGACAATCTGGCTGTTTGCGAAAGAGAAAGAGAGCAAGAGGAGGGGCCGGGCCCATCCTTCTGACGGAAAAAGAAGTTTGCGCATTCGTCTACGTCCGTCCTCGTTCGGACAGCGTTCAAAAAGTTCGTTGACGTTTTCTTTCAATCCAACGGCGTGGCACACATCCCTGTCGCGAAGCAGCGGGAGAAATGTTCTGGAAATTGGGCCGACGCAGTCCCAACAAGGCCATCGGCATCGACATGGAGGCTGGCACATGCATGGAAGCCTGGGGAGTGCATGGAAGGGGAACAAGGAAACAGTAACAATAAGAAAACTTCTGCAGCGCTTCGCTTCCTCGACCCGAGCGTCGAGCCGTCAGCATCAGGTCAGCGCCAATGTCAGCGATCGTCATCGACCCTTCTTCGCTTAGAGGTGGATAATTGGCTTCAACTCACGCTGCCGAGACTGGGTGGGCGGCCGTAACGAGCATCCAGAAGGTAAGCCACTGATTAGCCGCATTCTGTGGCCCGTCAAGCTTATTCGTGCCGTTGCCGCATACCACCTTTTGCATCGCAGTTAGTTCAGCTCGTTGCCAGGTTTGGTATAGCTAATATGTCAAGTTCGTGTAGACGGACGCCTCGAAAGCGTGACTGTCTGACGGTGGCAAGCCTCGTCGCAAACGGTCGGCAGAACCTACACTATTGCTTTGGAGAACACAATTAGGTAAATGGACCCCGGATCTGCACGTGCACTCAGCCAGGCCAAATTCGGATGCAGCTAACCTTCAATATGGATAAGTTCAGTCACATTACAGCTCACTCTGGAGTCTGCGGTAGACTGTAGTGAATAATGCGTGATTAGAGTCTTGACAGCATTGCTTGATCACCAGCCGACTGTTGGGTGCTTTACTCATTGCTCCGTACCAGCCAACAATAATCCGAGATTCGAATGGCTGTCTACGAATTCCACGACACCAGATGCCGTCGTCATTCTGAGACAGCATGATCGATCTCCGGAGTCAGGCAAACCAACCAAACCAGTCCATCTTGAATCAGGTGGAACCAAGCCATCGCCGGAGACGGAAAAACTGTGAGAAACGGTCTAAATGTTGGATTGTTCGAATGTCTGAGACCATGCCTTGGCGAGGGAAGCCAGTTGATAACCCCCCAACCTTGCAGGCCCTTAGCAGCCTGGCAACCAACCACGTTCAAGGGGGCGAGGGGGATCAAGGGAGAAAGAAGGAAACCCGAATGCCTTGGGCTTGTCATGATGTCTCTCTCTCTCCTCTCTCTCTCTCTTATCCTTCCCCTCTGATGTATTCCGCATCGTCGCAATGGATCGGTCGCCATGCCTTTTACTCCTTTTCGCAACCGGAACGGCTGCAACTGTAACCCTCTCAGCGCGCGTTGCGTAAGGTAGCACGACACAACGGCCAACGACTCCCTCGTCAAACATCAGAGTCCCCAACCGGACATGCCGTACGGATGCCTGCAGAACCTCCCCTACATGAAGATTTTGGATGGTTGGACAGGGCAACGGTTCCGAATGTAGATCACAACGCACCCCGAATCACACGTGTGCTTCCCTAACACGCTGGGGAAACCCGTGAAAGCCAAGCAAAGGGGATTCCCGGGGACAGGAATTAATTGGTTTTCTACTCCAGATTATCAAGCCACGCATGCCTTCAATCTCAAGTCGGAACTGGCACGTTGAGACACTTGAAAGCCAAGTCGGGGCGGGCAGGTGGGCACCCTAGCCCGCTTCGTGACATCTGGGTTGTATTAGTCTCACGGGTATCAAAGCATATACCACACGAAGTCTACACTCACAACACTCACTAGCCTATTTTCATGCCGGCAGCTCTCTCAACGAACGGAACGGAAGCCAAACTTGCATTCTGCATTCGCGTTAATGAGAGTGTGGATGGCGGATGGTTAGGTACCTCCAGCCCCAGATTGATACCACCAAGCCTTGCCATCAGCCACACATACCTATCCGTCAAAAGTTGCGTAACCTTGTTTGATTGCAACCAGCAACCGACAACCCACACACGCCACACGCCTCCGGGAACAAACCAGCTCTTTCTGCGTCATGTGTTCTTATTCCCGAGTAGATGTAGCTTGTACCAGTAGAAGCTCCCCAGCGTGACAGAGAAGGGTTGGCATCCCACACGACACATCTGTCTCTCCGTGCTTGTTAGCGTATGCCCCCTTAGTCTCTGTTTCCTCAATACTGCTTGGTGTTTCTCTTGTTCAACCCTCTTCGATATCTTGGCTCGGCAGCCGCCGGACTTAACCGCAACCTTAACCCAAAGACAATGTGTACGTAAACTTTCAAGGTAGCGTAGACGGATGTGCGAGCCCGAAGCATGGTCAAGCGGATGGGGCGCCACTGCCCACGGGGGGAACGAGTCGGCTTGCGGCGGCAGAGGGGGGCCGGGGGGGGGGGGAGGGGGCGGCCAAGGGTTGTGCTAAAGCCGGACTGGTCGTCCCGTAGCCCACATGGACCGCACTCTACGTAGTCTTGGTAATGAATTTGTTCAACCTGCCTGCAGACAAAATGAGGCGAGGGGCTCTCGCTCGTCTGATGATCCGGCGACAATGATTTCATTACCATCTCTTTTTCCAGGTCCAGACTTCCAGAGAGTAGGTTAGTCCTTTCGGGTTGACACCCGGCGGATGGTAGAAGAAACATACCTTGCGCAACTTTCTAGAAGGTTTCCGTTGAGGCGAGGATGAGGTCATATGAGGGGGTCTAGACGGGACGACATGAGAAGAACAAACAAAACCCGAAAATAGAAGTCAACACATTTTGCTGAATGTATGTCTGCCCCCATTTTACCTGACCGTGCTCACCCACTTCTTGACCTTCCATCCGAATTATCTCAGTCGATGGGGCAAGCACCTTTGTCCCCTCGATCGAAGCGGGATCATCCAGCTCTCAATCGCGAATCACTCATCGCATCTCACTCATACTTGGAAGCCCCCCGGTCGGTATGGCTCGCGATGGGTGACTGTATGCATCTTCCGTACGTACTTCTGCCCAATATCACCACATCCCCCAACGCCCGTCGCGATCTTCGTCGCCATCGCGGGCAGCATTTGCATATTTGCCATTATACCTCTAAGGTGGTTCGAAATGCCAAATGCCACACTTTTTTCAACTGCCGAACCGGTGTGTGAGAGAAGGTGTGTGCCGCCCGTCTCAGAACTCCAAGTGTGGGAACGAACGACAACGGGGGGCTTGCTTGCTTGCATCGAATCTTCCCCGATTTCAATTTTGTGATCAATCGCAGACGATCTCATTTTCGTGTCGACCACTTGTTTCCTTCTTGCCCCCGCGGTGATGTGTAAGGAGAGAGATAAAGCTGACGATGTATTGCATTGCTCGGCGGCGGGCGACGTCGCAACGTCAAGCGGTAATTTCATTGTAGGCATGAACATCACTATTATCCAGTCCTATCAGAGCCAGGCGTGGCGGACATCAAATCTGTACGGATAGAGGGGACTGGTTCACTAGGGATCGAATCGAATTTAAAAAATCAAGGGTACGGGATGCAAAGACCCTTTTCGCCAGAAGCACACCCTTGCATGAACTCTGCCGCTGCTCACCCCCCTCCTTTCTTCTCAAAAGACTTTGAATGCCACTTTCTGCTTTCGGCAAGACAGTGACCACCTTGCTGGACGAATTGTGCATGGGGGCCGGGCGGGCTTGGAAGTCATTGAGGATGGAGCGCGGTTGGGTTAATCTTCCGGGGGTTCATCAAAACGCGGTATATCGGATGTTTAGCTATGTAATATCCATAAAAGACACAGAGGTTCTGAGTAGACTCTACCACCATGTCGGCAATTCCTGAGGAGTATGAGATTGCAATGAGAGAATGATAGAGTCCATGAGTTCATGAGAGTCCATGACCAGTTGGTGCGGTGCACCGTACCCGTGCGTCTATTTGGCATTGTCTGAAGGAACAGTATGACGGCATATGTAAGACTGCGGCACATCGCGTCACCCACGTCTCATCCTTTTTCTTCCCTCTCCTCCTCGTGGGTTCTTCCATTGCCGAATGGTAGGAATCCACCACACACCTCCCCATCGTGCCCGTCTCCCCGTCAGTGAAAGTGAGACGTGACGACGGTGCTGAGGGGGTCAGGTCCATCTGAATGGCGCACCCGTACCATCATCGCATGGCGTTATGCCACAATCGGAAAGTACAATGCCGCATACTACTAGTACGCATGTTGATCAGACATTCGAGCCATAGCATGGCTGTTCCCATTGATGATCCGCCGGACCAATCTTTGAACCTGGGAGTCTTCACTCTTGGGACGGGCAAGTGATTGGTGGTCGCTGAATGTTGATGTAATTAGACACCCGTACATTCTTACCACGGCGGACAAGGCTTCCCAGCCAGCTTCGTCTAGTGTGTGGTTACACGTGTATCCGTTCCGTACGTTCTGTGTTATGAGCACCCAAGATGCCTATCTAGATCTATCATCTGGGGAAGGTGGAATGAGAGAAACAACCGCCCAAGGTTACGATATAGCAATTATCCGTAAATTGATAGCAAGGGACCTTGTTTGCTTGGGCCAAAGGCATTTTAGTCATGATAATGCGTGGAGCAAATGGATGTGGGAGAAACGGTGCCAAGTCCAAGATCGGCTGGGGAAAGAATATTATTTGTGAGATGGGTCTTGGAGAAGGAAACACTGGACACGGCATCCTGAAGATGGCCTCGGCCCGTCAAGACCATTGTCATGATCCACAGCGGTACCGAAACAGAGACTCGGTTGGTGTTGGCGTTGCTTCACCTCAACCATCGTGAATCCGCACATGAGCCGTCGGCCGCCGTTGTTTGGATGTTCTATTTCTCACGCTGGTGGGTCGAGCGTAGTGACGCAGTCGCGCAGATACTACCTAGATACGGTCGTGCGACGGATTGTGGACAGGAGAAGGTCTGCTCACTGCTGCGATTCGGACCTCGGGTCAGTCGATGGATGAGGGTTCACGGAACCCTGAGAGAACACGGATTCGCTTTCCACTGCTCTGTCACCACCCATGCCCCATGGAACGTGAAAACTGCAAGGAGGTGCGAGCCGCGAGTGGCGTGGCGCGGCGTGGCGGCAACGGCAATGGCAGCGCTCGCTCCCTTTTTCTCTCTTACTCCCAGTCTCACATTTGCTCTGTAAGAGCTCTGTAAGCTCGCACGAGCGGCGAGCCAGGGAGTTCCTGGCATCTGGCACTTTTTGCGGAGCCAGCTAGAGAGTCTGAGAGTCTGAGAGAGAATTACTGCGCGACTGCGACTGATTGAATCATGGCGGCCACCGAAGCTAAGTGGGAAGCGGAACGGACGGTGAGACGGAGAGATGGCCGAAATAGCAAGGGATCTATTGGAAATGGAAAGCGCCATAGCCCAAAGATGAGTTGTGAGCGCGAGAGAGCGACGGCCTGAATGGGTACCTACTGGGTGCACGGATGACCCCATACCGGTTGCTCTATGTACAGTAAGGTCCGGATAGTGTCAATTTGTTAGTGAGAATGAGTCTGTCTTACACTGACAAGAGCCTGTACCTGGATTCCATCCATTGAGGCTGTGGAGGAGCAAGTATGAAGTTTGAGGGTTGCTAATATCGCCAAAAAGTTGGTATCCTTAGAGTAGCTTGAGTTCCGAGCAGATCCTAAGGAGTCCATGTGCGGATACTATGATAGTCGTTGATTGTACAAACGGAGTCCTGTCCCGCATGCTGTTGACGGAGATATGATATGGCAACGAATGTCTTGTCCAGTCATTCTGGTGGAATCCGTGACATCAAATTACGCCATTGGCATGCGTTGTACAGACAGCGTCGGAGGCTCCTCCCATCAAAAGTGTCAGACAGTCAGACCGGCGCCAGCGCCAGTGCCCGACGCCCATCGAAAGCAGATGGACTGATGGAGCGACCAGCGGATGAAATGGGGCACGAGATGGGACGGAGGAAGGGGTCAACTGTGGATGGGCAACAAGCGCGTCAAGTGATTGGATGTTGATGGGATGAAACGGGGGAAACGGCCATGGGGCCAAGCAGGTGAAAAGGATAGCCGGCACCACGATCACGATGACGGTGACGGGTCTGGTCTGCTTCATTTCTTCCGCAAGGCCAATGGAGTCAATGGACGAGGGAATAAGCGCGAAATGGCGAGATGACCGGGGGCCACTCGGGAGACCTACAGACTGAGACTGCGGTTGAGGGATAGGCGAAGCCGACGTAACCCCCAGTTCTTGGCTCCGTGCTCCGTAGAAAACGGGCAATGGAACCAAGATTATGAAGCCGAACGGTCGTGTCTTGGTGGTCCAGGCCCAGAGAGCAAACGCAAAATGGCCGAGGCTACCGTTGAGAGAATTTGTTGCAAAGAAAAGATACGGGTTCTCCGTACGGATACTCCATACACTTTGCGTGAAATACCATATGCTGCGAGAAGAAAAAAAAAAAAGAAAAAAAAAAAGAGGATGGAAAACTGTAAAGCTGTTGAAGTTACGACGGGGAACAAGAGAAGAAGAGAAAAAAAGACCAAGCCTAGACCACCGTAATCCCGCGACCCGCTCCTTTCGATCCCGTCACGCCCGTTATCCCTCACTCTCATCCCGTTCAGTCAGGGCCAGCCCAGCCTATTGCCTATCAGCTCCTCCCTGGGCAGGTAAGTTGCCTAGGTACGAAATGCATGTACTTTTCTTCGCTTACCTAAGGATGATCCCTGTCGCCTTCCCTTGATCGAATTGTTCCATATGCCTTCCATTTGGGTGTCTGTTGTTTTCCATCCACTTTGCCTAAACGGGCACAATCGGCCCATGCAGCGCCATCATTGGATCACTCGGACCCTCTTTCGAAGCCTTCTAGCGCAGTCTAGTGCTGAGGGGATCCACTCACACCGATTTAGCTGGGCTCAGTTGATCACGGCTTGTCCCACCCCTTTTCCCTCCACGGTTGTCTCCCAACTCCCCTCCCTTCCGTCACCTTTCCATCCCGTCTTCCATCCGTCTTCCATTTCGTCTTCCCGCCTTTCTTCTGCCGCTGTTGTGCATCATTCCTGTCAGGTCAAGGTCACTTTCCAATTGCTGCTCAGACTGTGGCCTTCCCATCCCCTGTTGATTGCTAAGCCAGCCCTCCGTGCCCTCCAGCTGAAGCTCCTGACAACAGCAGGACGAAGAACAGAAAGAAAACGAAGGAGAAAGGGGGGTCCGGGGGGTCAAGGCCACTATGACTAAAATACCGAACCCCCCTTTACGACAATACGACTCCACAGGAGGACGGGGCAAAGAAGGCCACTCAAATCCCTTAACCCATAGTCTCTCGGCTACGATAGGATGTTCTGGCTCTTTTGGCCTGCCTCGACTCCAGTCTCGGGAGGGTACTCGGCTTCCTTAGCAAGCCGAAAGTCCCGTCTCTGGCGGGCTGAAGTTCCATTTGGAGTGTTGGACTCTCTACGGAGTACGGATACTCTAGGTATCACTACGTAGTAGAGAGCTTTGGGGGTCTTCACACGCAACCACTTTACCGCCAACCGCAGCAAATACTCCCCGCCTCTGTGCCACGGTGTCGTCGCAAGAGCAACGCGTCACTTCCAGGCTGTTAGTCACCGCATGCCTCCACCGGTATCCGCCCGCGGTGCTGGTGACTTGGTGTAGCGGTAGCTATACCTGTACAATATCCAGCCCTCTCTGGCTGTGTCGCGATTGTGTAAGGTAGGTGTCGCGTGAACATTGAAGCCTGTTCGCCGTTACTATCAAAGAATGGCCTGCGCAGTACGGAGTAGAGGAGACATGGAAGTATCCGTAGAGAAGCAACGCAATGCGCATATCCCGTCGCTTGGCTTCCATTGGTCACCGGTCGTCTTCTGGCCTTCTCTTTCCGGGCAATGATGTGCCTCCTGCCTCGTCTTCTCTCCTTTGCCCAATGAACCCTGCAGGCACACAGCGTACTGTTCACTAGGCCATAGGCATTTCCGTACAGGGTTGATCGGTGCTTCTTTTCTTCTTCCCTTCGGCGGTGATACCCGATTGAATGGCCTTGATCAAGTACTGCTTCTACGCACTTTCGCTGTTTCCAATACTTTGTTTGTGGTCTTTTGCTTCGTACCATCTATAGCGTAGTGGAACTTGTTCCCGCATCCTGGCAAACTCCCCTTCCGCAGACAGGCCTCCCCTGCTCAAGAGCCCGCACACATCCTGGGGCCTTTGCCCCGTCCAGCGCCTCGTCCGGGTCTGCCTTCAACAAGCAAGGGTGATTGTGGGGACTGGGACCCTCCTGGTACTGGTCTGGTGGATGGGGGAATGGCCCTGAGGCCTGGGCAGCATGGTGATGGAAGGATGGATCTGATTTGAGGTGCGCAGGCGCTCCCCCTTCTTCTCGCTGAGGGGTGACTCAGTGGATACAGAGGATTTTGGGAGCGAAGGTACCGCTACCCGCAGCCACTCCTCTTTGGGTGACGCGTAGTAAGGGCATTGCTGTCTAAGTACGTACGAATACTGCCCGCAGCCCGATACTTTTGGTACATGAGCCACATGGCCCCTGGCGCGCTAATTCAGTGCGGAGCAATCCCTCTTACGGGCCCCGTACCTACCTAACCTGACCTTACTCTACCATTCCTTGCCTCGCCTCCTCGCCTACCATAGGCATGATACGGTACGGCCGCCGTCCAAAAAATACTTGCCCCATGTACTTGTTCTGTCTGGATGGATACCGGACGCTTTTAGCTATCTCATGTCTTCTCCTCCTACCCATCCCCATCAATCCTACCGTTAATGCTTCACCTTCCCTCTCCTTCTCAAACACTCCCGATTCTCACAAAACAGACATACTCACTAGTTCCATTTTCCTTCTTCGCCTACTTCCTGCTTCTTCCACTCTCTCACGATCCACTGCGAATCCTTTTCTCGACACCCTCCGTCACATTCGCCTGATATCCCCTCCAAATCAAAGAGATATCCATATCGCTGCACGACATCAATCGCCTGCCGCCGTACGAACATCGTCGCCGACTTCATTCCTCGTGCCCACAACACAACACAACACAGCTATTCCGACACGGGTCACCATCTCGCTACCACGTTCTCTCATAGCTAGTTTCCTTGTCCTACCAAACACCAACTTCGAGAGACCTTCCACAGTATTGACGAATTCAACCACCAAACCACGCCCCATACCGTTTGTTTCCTTCGATCAGCATTCCCCTCCCGAATTCGAATCTGTAAAGACGTCACGTCGCCAGTCTCCGAAGCCACGAGCCAAAGGAACCCGTTTGTACCGCATCGTATACTCGACCGTATTGGATAACCGTCGAACGTGTGGCTTGATTGCATTCCGCACACATCTCTCAGAACACACTACCACTGGTCTACCTTGGGGCTTCGCTGCACTCTTACTGTTGACTGACTGTCGTCTGCGACATTCTGCAAGCAGCATCTTGCACACTCATTGCCGATTGCGACGAGTCAATTCCATTCCCGTCACCAAGACACTTCTAGCGTCTCCAATCTTGTCTTAGTGCAAGCCTCCTCCCAAAGCCTGACTGGACATAGCGCCCTTATCTACAACGCTCTGGGCTATATACCTACCGTGGGCCCCGTCCTTTCCCAGCTTTCTACGACCTAAGCTGTGCTTGCTCTTTTGGACTCAACACTACAACAACAAGCATTTTACACCACATCGATAATCTTCACTCGATCAACGAATAGCGCTACTCAACTTGCCGTACCCACTTGTGCAACAAAAAGTAGGATTTGTTCACTTCATCGAGACTCTCCGCCAAGGAAAACGTTCCGTGGAAGACGACCCGAATTCGTCTCAACCGAAGAGAGGCTGCACTCACTGTAGTTTCCTGCAACAACAAACGCCTTCTATGGGGTCATCGATGCAACTCTAGGCACACAAGACTGCCCTCCAACACTAGTCTGCTGCTATCTTCTCGATCAGCGACTTTTGGCAACTCCAACCTTTTCTGTACAAGAACTTGGCGTGGAAATGAAAAGGTCCAGGATAAGAAAGCACTCCCCCATCTACCTGAGTCCTTCACCGTCACCCGAGAGGGAACTGTCACCGCCTAGTCCGGCTTCAGCTGTCCTGGACTGGGAATACACCACGATCATGTCGAGGTCGAGGCCCACCAGCGGGGCCTTGATGCCCGGCGCCGTCATCTTAACACCACCCACTCTCTCGGAGATTCTCTCCAACACCTCAACGCCGCCATGGACACTAGCAGCATTCATGGCATACCTTTCTCAGAACCACTGTCTGGAGACCCTTGAGTTCACTATGGACGCCGACAGATATCGCAAGGCATACGAGCAGATCATCACCAATCAGGAATGGATCGGCGATGGTAAAGAGCATGTCTGCTCATTGTGGGAGAAGCTCATGCAAGCATACATTATTCCATATGCACCGCGGGAAGTTAACCTTCCTTCACCCGTGCGGAATCATCTTACGACCCTGGACTGCTCCTCGGCCCCACCTCCTCCAAGTGAACTCGACGACGCCGTCAGAATCGTGTACGAGCTCATGAACGATTCTGTACTTGTTCCCTTCATCGAGTCAGTCCAACCAGGCCATGGCGATTGCCGTATGGCGGAGGACGACGGGCGACCTGGTCGCCTGCGCCTTCGGGCCGAGGGTGCTGGGGCTAGGTCAGAAGAGCCTGTGAAGTCTCCCAAGTTCCTACCCCAGCTGACTTTGGGTCGCAGTGGTGCCACAAGTCGATCAGCTTCTGCGTCGGGCGAACACGCTGAACGCGAGGGATTGACAGATGATAGTGGAAGCGCTGTTTCTCCTGGCACAGAGCCAATGACTCCTCCCACTACTCCGCCAACTTCGGACTGGACATTCAGCACTTCCCCTGGTGGACTCCAACGGGCATTGACCGCACACACCAACGGGTGGAAGAAGGTTGGCGCCAAGCTGGGTCTCCATCGCAAATCACGCTCTAACCGACGAAACAATCCGACATCATCGGGCCCGATTACTGATGGGGACGTCACCATGGCTGAAGCCAGCCAGAGCAACCCTTTATAGGAACCAGAGGTCATGCCATCAACTACATCCACCACACCAGCGACATCATCTTCTCACCTCCCTCTGGACGGCTTCTCACGTGTCCGTCACCTTTTCAACCCGTGGGAGGAGCCTCATCCAGGCAAACGACTACCTCTCGCGGCGTCAGAGGCCGGCAGTGAAATTAAGAAGGTTGCTTTTGCTGGTCCACAACACACCATCAATGGTGGATGCAAAGGTGGCATGGCCGCAAAGGAATTTAGCGCTTACCACAACCCACGACCATGGATGGTACGACGCCCTATTCGAGTTCGATCGCGAACCAACACTCCCGCTCCCCTGAGGATCACTACGGAGATATCCGAAGACGCCAAGTTGAAGCCGGTTTCTGTTCACGATATGGGAATTATTTCTCCTGCGGTGTCCACTCCAGCCATACCTCCTGCTGCACCAGAAGATTCCGGCGAACCGACCGGCAGAGGTGCTACCAACGAGTTGATTGCCAAGGAAGTTGATGCAAGCGAGCTGCCTCTACCCGCGTCTCCGCCAATCGATTGTCGATTCACGGACTTTTCGAACTTGCTGGGCATCAACGTCCATCCTCCACCAGAGGATGAGGCTGTTGCCATGCCTAACGACGAGCCTGCACCGTATTGCCGTGCCGCACCCGACGAGGATCTCTATGGATGGGATGCCGAGCTTGAGCGGCAAAGCCAGCAAAGCAGTCCAGTTTTACCGTGCCCGTGCGACGCTGATTACCAATACCGACGGACGAGCATGACGAAGCGTAGTCTCTTGCACCGAGTCTTCAGCATGGGAGGTTCGCCCAAAGATATCAACATTGAAGTGTGCAGAGCTAGTAGCACCTCTAGCTAGCATTTCACTCTATTTTTCTCATTTTCGTGTTTCCTTCTTGTTTTTCTTTTTTGTTTTTGCTTAAAGCAAAGCCATGATACCAATTTCCTCTCCACCCTTCTCGGCGTTTGCCCAACATTCCCACTTCGACTTTGTATTCTGGCATCACATTACAAATCTACCTGACGGGAAACAATTATCCAACATGCATTATTGGGGAGGCAAAAGAGAAATGATAGACCTGGGATCAGGACATTTTGAAGTGGAGTTTTTGTGGCATTTATATGGCTCGGCCTGGAAAATCTCATGATGCATTGCGAGGAGCTTTGGTGGGCAGCGGTCGATTTTTTCCGGCAAAGTTTTTTCGGTTTGTTCATTTTCATCATAAGTCAAGATAGGGAAGCAAAAAGCATTGGTTGCGCAGGGCCCCAGAAGATGTGGCGGTAACTCACTGGGAGCATGTCGGCATGGGCATTTGGGATGACTGAGACGAGGCGACGACTGTATTTATTAGATGTGTAATAACATCATGAACCAACACACAACCCTTTCCCTTGACTTTGCGTGATTTGGTGAGGAAGCTTCAAACTCATCCGGCTCTCTTGATGAATACTGCTTGAATAACACGCTTCTTCTTGTCAGGTTCGGGCAAAACACAGGACCTCTTCCAATGGGTAAACTAAATTTGGTTTCACTGTGCTGCATGGAAGGCCTACTTCCTGTGCAATTTGAATGAATCCTTTCTTAATGACGCGTAAGGAGCCCAACCTCCTTGTCCCATAAACGCATAGATACCAAGCACTTCTCTGCACCGATCGGGCTGCCATTGTACCCGTCCTATTGGGCCAAGAACCATTTGGTAGAAAACAGTGACTGCAGAGAGAAGTGTGTCGGCCAGGCTCACTTGGCCATGATCACCCCGTCTCTTCATCGACAATCACAAGTCTAGCGCCCCAGGCTTGGCTCGTGACTTGTGGCTTTGCTGGAGATTCGCTGCTCACTTGGACCAACTGAACGATGGGCCTAGGTCTGTGGGTCTGGAAGAAAACTATACAACTGTTGAGAAACCGAGAGAGATTATCGGCATCACCATGGTATCTCATGGAATGATGGAAGCTCTGCGGGAGTCTAAGATCGGCCAAGGTCTAACAAGCACGTTCCAGAGTCTGTGACACTCACTGGCTAGGACGACCTGAAGAGTCTCACATTGTCTCATGTCTATCATGTTTGCGCAGCTGCTTCAGCTAATGTGCCTACTTATAGTCTTATACTGCAAACGCCTTTCTGCATGGCTCATCGCAAAACAACCTCTTCTCTTTGCAGTGTTAATCAAGCTTTCTTCGACCAACTGACTGCCCTCGTGAGGTAGTCCCTACCGGTATGATTACCTATCAATGTAAATGATATGGCCTGATAGGCGAGCCTGAGCGGCTACTCAACGAGCACCTGCTCCCGTCGCCCCGCAGTCTATTAATCTTCCAAGTCCTGTACCTCGTCTTGTTCGTCCTGGGGAGGTGCCGCTAGACGCCACATGTTCATTCCTTGTTCGTCTGTCTCTTCCGAGTCCACCATGACGCCGACTCGTCGGATGGCTTCGGCAATCCCTCCAGCGGGGATGTTTGCTCTCTCACCACGTCGAGGTGATCTCGGGGAAGGACTTGGTATACTCGGCAGAAATGGTGGCTGCTGCCGTCCATGCTGCTCAGCTTCGGCCAGGTCACCTGAAGCATACGGCTGCCATGTGTTCGCCGCATCATCATTGTGGACTGGTATTTGTCGCAAGGTCTGTCTCGTTGATAGGTCGTTATGTCGGGAGATGACATCGGCTGCCCGTTTTGACAGTATTTTCGGTGCCAAATATGCGGTGCATCTTGATTCGCCATGTTGCGAGCCCCTTGGCAGCCGAATGATCTGTCAGGCGGCCAAGGTCAGCGTAACCGCTGGATCATGCCAAATTCAAGAACAACAACATACAGTTCCAGGGTGGTTCATTGCTGTTGTTACTCTTGCTGTCGCGGAGAAGGGCAAAGGGAGTGGTAGCCTCGGGGCGTTGAGGCCCGGTAACCGGTCATCGTAAGTATCTCTCATCGACTCGTTTTCGGCTTCTTGTTCTTCGTCTTCGTTATCACTGGGGGATGTTTCCATCTTTTCGCTGTCCTCGACAATAGTGTCACCAACGTCACCGTCAAGGGCGGCTGGACTGTTGTAAATCTCGATACTCTCTTCGCTGGATCGAATATTGTCTGGCAAGAAGCGGAGTCGCAGCGACTCGTGTAGTAGGCTACTCGTAGATGACTGTAGACTCGAATGGGTATTGTTGCCTCGACCGCCGCCGTCCTGTGCTTTGCGCTGACCCTCGTATCGCTTAACATCTGAGAGAGTTATGCGAATGACGGTAGGATCTAGGCGCAACATTGTTGATCTCCAATTGGAGTCGTAGTTGGCAGTATGATAGCCTGACAGAACTTTTGAAGGTCGCCTGGATGACTATATTGTTCCAATTCAACGCGACATACGTCTCATCCATTGGCCATCGCCCGACTCGCAGCATGTGAGAGGGAAGGCATCACCCACAGACTGCAGGAAGTCGCCAAGTCGCCACCGAGGTATAAGTACATAGTGAACGAACATCGCGAGAAAGAGGTCACTCGGCGCCTGACCGGTAGGACTCATTTCTGACGAGGAACGGGACGAAAGCATTGTTCACGAAGTCAAACTACCTTACTACAATGGCTAGCTCTGACAAGTCTCAACGCATTCAACTGCCAAGTACACTCGTCTATCTCTATCTACTTTCGCATACGACTACATAATGTGAGAATACTTGCTTTTAACATTTCAGAGATCAACGGTCAATTGTATGGAATGCCGACAGAAGACATTTTGTCAAGTGAGCAGTCTCACTTTTCAACTACCGGGGCCGCGGGGAAGCGAATATTCGGAAAACGGGACTTAGCATGTAGCAAGCGTAGGTAGTTACAAAGTCACTGGATCTATCGTAGCGAGGCGCGCAATGCGACGATGTGCTGCAGCTGTAGCAACTGCGGGCAAGCATGCGTCCTAGCCAGCCCTGATTCGGCATGGACGCGTTGGGAACAAGGTACGAGTTTGCCTCGCGTGCCTCGTTTGCTGATACAAAGGCGACTGACTGATGCTAACTCTATGGGGGGAACTGGGCTGATGGATGGAGACCAGAGTACCAACAATTACCCGTTTTCTCCATGCACTGTGGAAGTCTCTTCTCAGATGAGCCAAGAAGGTGCGCCCGTGCTCAAGATGATCTGTGATACGCCCAAACTCACTTACCATCCTGGAGCTGTGCTTTCCCTCCTTGGCTTGACAGGTACGTACCTACTTTGTACAAACTGCACTTTGGAAGCTGAGCGCCTCTCCGCAGCGCAACGACACTTCCTGAGGTGAGACCGGGGTGCCGGGGGTAGGACGGCTCGCAAATGGAAGGCGGCGTTCCCTTGTCTACCACGCATCCAACCCTCCAGGTCCAAACCTTTTCGTCGGCCCTTTCCTGCCTCTTACCCGTTGCTCGCGTTTCCCTTCCGTCTCTCAATTGACCTTGTAGGATACAAAAGGAAAGCTCCTTCTTCTCGCGCCCACCTCTTACTCGCGGCGCCTTCCCTCCCTCTTCCTTACCACAGTTCATCCACTCTCATGCCGCAACTCGTCTAGTCTTTGTCTCTCGGACAACCTCATCTTCCTTCCTGCTACACATACCAACCTGAACTCTTACATGTCTGCTTCCTGCCATCTCGTCAGACGCCTTCCCACTCTTCCATTAACTGCTCAGTCTCCCACTTGGATCTGAACAGCTTCTTCCTTCTGCCAACCAACCTGCTCCTCCAACCCATCATCACTCGGGCTTAGCCATCTCAACCTGCCAATTCCCATCCACCATTCATCATCACCACCCAGTCGTCACCATCTTGTTCACCTTTACAACCATCTCGCCAAACGATCGCCCTCAAATCCTACCAGACAACACGTCCATCCAGCGACTGGAACTAGCGACCAACGTCTTGCTCAACTACTAACACATTGTGATTCGTAAAAGAGTTACTTGAATCTAAAGTCTGAACTTACCTTGCGCAGGTCTAACAATACAGCCATGTCTCCTTTCGGTCACTCCTTCTCCACTGGCTCCCCCGTCATGGCTCTTCCTCCCCAGCCCGCCCACCAAGCGAGCTTCGGCATGGAACCATTCTCTCCCCAAGCCGCACCCTTTGGCCAGCCCACCGCCTTCAAACGCTGCCCTGCGCCGCCGGCAATGCCCGCCGGAAGCCTTCGAGTCGCTGGCCGCAAACGTTCGCGCGACGAGGCTGCCCCCAATCTGGTTACCGACGAGCCTGAACCCCATACCGCACCCAAAGAACCCGAAGAAGAGTGGGAGTACGGCCCTGGTATGGTTCTCATAAAGAAGGGTAGCTACGTTGCGGATGCTGGCAGTCAATCTGGCACCTGGGTCGAAGAGAAGGCTGCGCAAGACGATGCTCGCAAAACACAAGAGGCCATCACACGTCTCCACGAGCAGCAAGAACGCCCATCTTTACGCAGCAATAAATCCCAACGCCTTACCCAGGCCGTCATGCCAAATCTTCAAGCCGCCCAGCCTGCTATGGCGTCTACATCCACGACTCTTTCATCGGAGAGCTCTGCGCAACCAATCGTCGATCAATTCACTCTGCATCTCGGCATTGGCTGGAGACGTATCAGCGAAGACCAACACATCCAAGCCGCGGCACGCGGCTGGGCCCGATTCATTGAGAACCACTATCCTGTCTCCTCCGCCATCATCCGGCTGGAGAGCAAGGGGCTACAATCGTACCTCGTCGAAGCCGCGGAGGGTTTCTTCCTCTTCGCAGAGGATCTCCGTCAAGGCCGCCTTGTTAGCAGAGACGCCGAGGGCGCCATGCGAAACCTCCAGTGCTCGCCTCCCGCCTTTGATGGTCAAGAGACGTTGCTTGCGACCGAGTCTCCCGCAGCAGTAGAACCAGGCAACATGATGGAGGCTGACAGCAATATGGTTATGTGAAGCGACCACGCGTTACACAACGGCGCGTTCGGCTTTATTTTATTTTCTTTGGAATCACATTACAAAACGACAAGGTCTGGGGGGGCGCAATGGTATTTTTCCTAAGAGGTTCACTTGGTGGGGCCGGGTTGGATGGGTTGAGTACCTGAATGAGGATACATCATATCATCACGGCAAGCAAACGAAGGCCGGCCAGCAGAGAAAAGGATTTCTTAGTCTGGGCACATCATCTACTATGGAAACCGGTCTTAACAGACCAGTCTGGTCTCTTTCTGCTTATTTCGCGGTCAGCTACCGCATTGGAGAGGCCAATATGCGATGTTAGCAAACTTCAAAAAATTCAGAAGAAATATTACTAAATTCAGATAAAGTGGCATTTGCTCGTACATCAAATGTCTTGTGTCCATATCTCGCCCACAGCATATTTTGTTCGGTATCTGGCGGTGAAACGCGTGGCCTTCACTCTATAGTATCTAGGTCGACTAAGCTACATAGTAAGGTACGGGATAGTTTTTGTCGGAACGCGGTTTGTTGCGTTGCCGAGGCGCCCAAGACCCTTTGCAAGACAAGAAAACCTTGATAGCGCTCGACGGCCGATGCAAACCCGAGTCAAGAGTCTTGGGGCGAGTGGCCTTGGATAAGACGAGACAAAATGGACGGGCCTGCTAACCTACCTTAGTCTGCGATGATACGACGGACGGGCATGGGGGTGCAAGTGCCAAATCCGTCGTCATGTGTGACAGAATAGACAGTCAGCGCCAGTGGAGCCCAGTGCGAGTGCCAACAGGCGAAGCAAAGCGATGCTGGCTGTGGGCTGGAGCACGAGACTCAGCTCGATACATTGTGAGAGAGGGAGGGGAGCATCAACCTCCGCCCCCAGGTGAGAGAGTGAGAGAGTGAGACCGTGAACGGTTAGATGAGACCCTGGACACACTGCATTGGCATAGACACTTAGAAAGGGGGCCACGACTTACGAGTCCAACGAGGGTCACGAGTGGAAGAACGGCAAGTTCCAGCAGCTTGCAGGGCGCGCCAGAACAGCAATGGGGTCGGCAGAGTGATCAGTGAAGCACACCTCAGGATTCGAGGAGTTGAATGATGGCCGCTTACTGGCTGAATCGGGTGGTGGTGGGAACCATTGGATGCCCGGGGAACCTCCAACAGCAGCTAGGTACCTTGTCGCTCGCTCACTCGCGCGCCCGTCCAGCTGCTCTCTGCCTCCGAAGTTCCATTGCGTGACACTGTGAGGGCCGCACGGAGGTTTGCGAGGAGCGGGCAACGGTGCAGCGCAGAGTGAAGTCGTTCCATTGGCGGACCAAACTTGACTTCTCATTGGCGTATCGCGGCGAGAAAGTATGGAGCATTTCTTGCTGTAAACTGGTGGAGTATTGAGAGGATGAATCTGGCCAATGACCTGGCCGATACAAGTGGGTGGGAGTGAGAGATGACGGAATACTTTGATCGACATGCAAGCCCAACTGTGGTTCGGGGTACCCGGCTATCGCCAAGCTCGTGACCAATCACAAAGCCTTGACCAAAGGCTCCAGACGAGCCGCCAAAATCCGGAGGCTGGCTGGCAGGACCGGGTCAGGAAAGAGGGAAGAACAGCTCAGGAATAGAATCCAGGAAGATTCCCGTCCCGGCTCACGTGACGAGGATGCTCCGATTGATTGGGGGTCTGACCTCTTTCCCCCACACCTAGGTCACGTTTTGGCTGAACTTTCCACCTGACCTTCCATTGGCCAAATACGTATCGCAGGCTGCTGCGAGCCTGCCATTGCGAGCATGGTCCATGGCAGCAAGAGAATGAAATGTCGTGACCTGGCAGCCCGGGGTGGCCAAGGTGAGGTGCATGTGGGAAAGGCACGGGAGGTGGCCCCCGCCGCCAGTGCCAGTGGACGAGTCTGCGAAGTCTGCCTTGCCAGCATGCACGATGATGCCCCCTGCATCTCCTCGCCTCATGAGGGTATTCAAGCAACCTATGGTTGGGCAACGATGAAAGGAGGCGAGTGGTCTGCACCCACTATCGGCGAGCGCAAGCTCGAAGGGGAGGCACGGAGGCAACTTTTATTCATCGTCGTCCTATGAAGACAAGCACACTGCTGGGATAGCTGGGAGAGCCTGGGAAAGAATCCTTCTTCTCTTGCCCTTACAAGTATCAAGGAGGATTGTCCCTTTCCGCTCATTGGTACGTTGGCAATTGACTCAACCTCTACCCGTCAACTGGCACCCATCGTCCCGACTTTACTTGCCTTCCTTACCTACCTTACAGTAATGTACTCTATCGTTTGGCTGGGTGGTGGGTTCAAACTCATGTGTGCCTCAGAACCTCTTTGCCTCTATGAAATGATATCCTGAGCGTTTCCAGGTTCGTCTCCCACTTCTAGGTTGACCCAGAGCAACCTGTCCCATTGCGCCTGTCTTCGCCATCTTATTGGCAACTGCACAACGCAGAGCTTGCTCACCCTGTCCCTGTCCCACTTCTCGTCGCCGGCGCCGTCGCAATATCCTGGTTCACGCTTCACTCTTTGGCTCTACGCGTCCGGCACACGTCTACTGCGTACGGATACAGCTGTTTTCTCTCTCTGCTCTGAACCGGCTCTCGTTGGACTTGTGCTGGTGCTCGCTCTTCTCCCATCGTTGACATCTCCTGTACAGTCCTCAGTCTTGTCGCCGGCAGTCGCATCACGGGGTGCTCGCTACCTTATCCGTACCAAATAGCGTCAAGACCCCTCTCCCCTCTCCCCGAGTCACCAGGGTCTCAGACTCTTGCCTGCTCGTCTTGCTTCTTGATTTCTCCATCTCGGTCGTCCTCGTGCTGATTACTTCACTGGCTACCCCAAGACCCCATTCGACCAGCAACAAATCAACACATCTATCCATACAGCTCAACCAGGCTCGCGTTTCTCCTCTAATCTCTTCGCCTCCGCGTAGATATCCTTGGCATCGCCGTTACCTTGCTCCATCACCACACTGCATTTCTAGCTCCCGCCATCGCAGCTATTTCATCTTGTCACCGGCGCACGCACGCTCGCACACTCCTCCCCCGCGCATCGCGACACGATCAAACCCAGCCGCCCATCCGCTCCCCGCCTCTTCACCTTTTCTTGGTGCGAGCAGTCTCGTAGCTCGTAGCTTAGGAGCTCTATTGTTCTCAGCGCCTCGGCTCGATTCTGTCTCAGTCCTGCACGCCTCCGTCGGTGCTGCTCTTGTGCACCCATCAACGCAGATTCACAACCCAAAACCTTTAAGCCCGTCGACAAGCTTCCCCGTCACACAACAGTGGTCAACCTCTGCTTCATATTTCCGGTCGACGACTCTCCGCCACTTGTGCGCGCTTCTTGCGCGCCATTTGTGTCGCATCTTCGTTTACTGCCTGTCCACCTACAAGGACCCCAGTGCGCGCGTTCCTCCATGTCCGAGCCGCCGTGGCCATCAGCCATCAGTCCCTCCTCCGACCTTCGCAGCTTCGGTCTCGATAGAGTCGATACGCCTTCTTCATGGTCTCGCAGCCCGATTCCGCGTCCTCCCTCACCCTGCGAGGCCCCTCCTCGGTCGTTTCGCGTCCTTCACTATCCCGCACGAAGCGATACAACAGGTCTCACGTCGGCGGTTCATCCTATATCTCCCAGAATGAGTTCCCTGTCTTCAACAATTCGGGCGATGTCGAGATCATAGTCAAGGCCGGTGGCCACCAGAATCGTTACCTGCTGCATCGTCATACCCTCACGCAATGCTCCGGCTTCTTCGAGGCCAGCACTAGTCTTGAGTGGTCCAAGGCAATTTCGGATGGCGCTTCGAATGACTTGCCTCGTATTAGCGACGGCTCCTCAGTCGACTCGTACAACCCTCTGCCTTCCAGCCGAGCCTTGACGACTTCATCTACACCACCAAAGAAACGCTGGCGCTATGAATTGGATCCAGGTACGGGGGATGGCGATATACCAATGCTGGTACAAAAGGACGAAGATCGCTCAAAGGGTCTGAACGCGGGCAACTCTGGGTCTCTGTTTGGTTCTGGTGGCAGCGCGGTCAACGGCGATCAGCCCGTGTCGTATTCGCGAAGCAAGACATCGGGCCACTCCCACTCCTCGTCGGCGCACTCGAACCACAACTTCTTCCGCTCCGTCGCCAATCTGAGCCTCGTGCCGAGCTCGACAACGACGGCGACAAGTCAGCCGCTTTCGCAGGCCGACCAGGATCTCCTCCGCGACTATGACAACCTCTTTCGCATCTTTTACAACCACTCCCCGATTCTCGACGGTGTCAATATCGCGGATGCTTACGTTCAGTGCAAATCTCTCATCACCTTGGCGGACCTATATGATGCATTGGCCGTGGTTGGCCCCAGGGTCGACCATCATCTGCTTCAATTCCAGTCACGACTATGGAAGCAGATTGCCAAGTATCCCATCTCATACCTACGTCTTGGCTACCTTGCCCGCAGCAGAGTCATCTTTCAGGAGGCTTTGATTCACGTGGTCGGACAATGGCCAGCAGGAGAACGCAGCCTCCGTGCTGCGCTCCCTGACATCGTTCTAGACATAATCGAAGACAAAGTCGACGAGCTAGAAGAGGTGGTCAGCCGAGTCGAAGGCCGTCTCTTCCGATTAAGCTTGATGACAGCGAGGGGCGAGCGTGTCACACCTCAGAACAACTATCTCGACTGGCTAGCCGTCAGCCTGTTCCGTCAGTGGCTGGCAGACAACACCAGTCCTCCACCCCCGGACCGTCGACTACAAAGCTCTCGCGACGGTCGAAATGGGAACAACCAGCAACTGGCCCTCCCTGCTGTCGTTCCGCCGTTGGCCACGGTCGGCCGCACATATCGCACTCTCGGCGCCTCCTCATCGGCCTACCTAGGCCACGACGAGTGCAAGCGGTTCTTAAAATTGACACCTGAGCTGTATAGCCGGGACAATCTCCGGCGATTTGAGAAGCGCATTGACGAGCTGAAGTTGATGGCTCGCGACATTGTCCGGCCGCTTATGGGCAGTGGTCTAGAGCTGGACATCAACAGCGGAAGGGCCGCCGATGGAATTGGCTACCTCACATGCGTGACCGTCGGGGATCGTGACCTTCCTTGGCATGGTGAGCATTGATGCGGAAAAGATGACTCTAATGCTCGGCCGTTCTACGGCTGCAGAACGAGATGAAGAAGCATACTGGTTATTCTTCCGACTGATGATAAACGAATTTACTGGCGGATTTTGATCTTATTTTTGGATTTATTTTGAGTTGGCAATATTTGACGGATATAGCCTGGGATACCCATTGACGAACTTCGCGTCGTGCATCGACACTGCAAAGAAGGCCTGGATTCAGGGAGGCATATAGCATTAGATTTCAGACATAATCCATTGTCGTTATTTGAATCAGACTTGAATGCGCTTGATAGTAGTGGTACAGAGTGATACAAGGAGGGGTTTGCATTATTCGTTGTCTCCTGTGAGATCGATAATGGAAACTTCGCTCTGCCTCCATCCGTCGTCCTTTGTCAAGCGCCCCGATGCCATCGTCGCCTTCGTTCCAGCGAACCACTCCTCGTCGCTCACTTCGACCACCCGGAAAAATCCGCTGACGCTTGCCCGTGGCACCATGACCTTTTTCCTGGCCTTCCCCGAGGCGACTTTTGCTGTGGGTTTTGGCGCAAACGCATCGTCTGATTCTAACCAGGATGAAGCTGTGACTTTGGTGGTTCGGAAACCACAGAAGCCAGCACCAGCAGCATCCTTCGACCCGACGGGCTTGACCTTAGCGGTCTGGCTGACAGTGATGGACGTTTCGAGGCGGACACCGCTCTGGACACTCTTTCGCTGCCTGTCACGGTTGGCTTCCTGATCCGCCGTTTGTCGCGTGATGGTGCTAGTCACGAAGGATTCCATACGTGTCTGCTTCAAACCCCGCTGACTCTTTGACGGAGCTGTCGGCAGTCGTATTGTTGACGAACCTTTTGCCGATGGCCGATGTTTCCCAGGGCTTTGGGAGAGATGACAAGGTGCTGATGTAGACGCGGTAGGCGGGTTCGGCTCGGGCTCGACGAGGGACTCTTCGTCAGAACCTGACAGGTCGATGATGATGTGCTGAGGTGTTGGTGGGCTCGGCGGGCTCGGTGGACTCAGCGGGCTCAGCGGTATTTTCATCGACGGAAAAGCAGGCGCAGGCGAAGCGGGGACGGGGCTAGATGACAACAGAATCGGCTCTGTGGGCTGCCGAGGCTTGGTGGTTCTAGGCATATGTTGTGAGCCAGCGTATGCCCGGGGGTTACTGTGAGCGGTTGGTTCTGCGGAGGCAGACGCTTTCCCGTTGGACCTGGATTGCTTACTTCGGTTGATAGGTCTCAGCAGAGGACTCGGTCGTTGTGAGGAAAAAGAGGAGGCCGGAAACGCAGCCGTTATCTTTGTTGGATCCGGCCTAAGAGTAGTGGGCCGCGGAATATGTGGTGAGAGGACATCTTCGTCTTCTACTTGATGTTGCGATGTTGCGCCGCCAGTCTTTGCTGATTGTCTTGTGGTGGTGCCCTTTGTGATTTGCATCCACCTATCAAGCGCGCCGGCTTCGGCTGGGACGGCTTTGGCAGGCTTCCTCTTGCCGAAGCCCTTGCTGCTGGTGTTCTTGGGCTTTGTAGACACCTTAGTAGCCTTGGCCCGCTGCTTCTCTTCCCAATCTTCAACAGCCAGAGGTGCGCCCAGCTTGACGAGCGACTCGGGCAGCCAGATCATCTGGGCGGCATATGGGTCGAATGTACTTTTTGGCACAGCCTGGCTGCTCGTTGGCACTCCCTCGCCGTCGATGACAGCTTCGAACTCCTCGTCGCTGTTGAGCCCGAGACCCTGGCGATCAAAGGGCACTTCGTCGGCTTCGTCTAGTTCTTGTGAAAGGTCTAGACCGACTATATCGGTCGGAATGTGTGCTACGCGCAACTCTGAAATGCCATCGGTGCTGTGATGACTTCGTATCCCGGCGATACGGTTGACCAGTTTCGATTCTTCTTTCTCCATCTCCACTGCCGTCTGGTAGCTTGCTTGGTCGGAAAGGTGCCTCTGCAATAACTTGTGGGCGAGTAACGCAGGTGACAAGACTCGCGTGAGCTTAATGGCACCGATTTTATTCACCCAGTCAAGCGTCTCGTCTGCAAAGTACCGGAGACCTTGCACATCTATCGGGCGACTCCAATCGAGATCCGCCTTCAGCCTGTCGATAGTGGCGGCACTTGAGACGACCGGATGCGTATAATACCTTAGCACTTGGCGATCTGGAAACTCGTCCGGTATGGACAAAGCTTTGTGCCGTACTCTGAAGAAGCCACTCTCGTTCGTACGCAGTTCGTGTCGTAACGTCCTCCTCCACTCGTCAAATTGGTCATCATCTTCAATCTTCAAGCGGCATAGCGACTTGCCAAACCCAGCTTTCGCCGCCTCGCATGCAACTTTGGGACCGCATCCTGGTACACCTTCGGGTATGTAGTCACCTCCGCTCATCAGTGCGACCAACACCATACCCTCTCGATCCAGACCCGTTTCGGCAGACAATAAACTGTCGACCTCGTACATACTAACGTGGGTGGGCGTCTTGGCTCCGCGGGTCCCCTCTGCTGACCAGTTTCGAAGACTTCGGGTACAGCCAAACATGATTGTGTCGACATCCTCGCTCAAAACTGCGTCGACGATGTTCCGTTGCTGTAAGAGAGCGCATTCGGCTTCTGCCTCACCAGGCGCGTCATGCACTAGGAATCCAAATAGACGAATGACTCTCTTCGCCATGGCTATTGCAAGGCCATCCCCTTTACCAGAACGCTTGTTGCGCTTGAAAGCCGGCTTGTGAGGGCCATCAAAGACAAAAATGGGGTGTATACCAAGACTTAGTAGTCGCACCAGGCGGTAGAATAGAGTCCTGATTGCAGGATTTGTCCCACCTGGTGAAGTCTGTCAGCTCTGAAGCGGCTAAGTTGGACGTGTGATTGGTGCTACCTCGTGCGGCTTGTGCCTGGAATTGCCAGATGGCGATATCAATGGCAATCCGCAATGGCCGGCTTGTGTTTTCAAGTTTCTCTGTGGCCAGTTTGGCAAGAGATACTCTTTTGCCGGGGCCAAGTTCACGGTAAATTCTGTGATTGTGATATGAGTGAGACCTCGCTTTCTTAAGAAGAGGACAGGGGTGGCGGTAAATACCCTTTGATTCCCATTGCAATCTTCCAATGGCTCGGATTGAAAGAAAACCAAGTCAAGAAACCAATGCGGAGGAGAAAATATCAGATCCTCAAGATTGAGTGTGGATGCAGAATACCATCCAAGGGGTAGAGGGATATTGGGGGGCGAAATGCATGAAGTCGTTGATGCGTCGACGATTCGGCTAGCCAAAAAGAACAACCGTGTTGTGCTCGAAATAGAACGGTAAAAATTGGAGTGCAACGAGCCTCCCAAAGATCTGCTAGGCGCGACTCATAATGCTCAATAACTAATACACAAATCGTGTCCAATGATTTCTTTAATGCTCCATCAGTCTGGCGAGAGATAGGTGCTTTTCGGTTTGAGAGATGTTGATTGAAGGATCGTAGTTGGATCACTCCTAGAAGAGGTGGTTACCGGGACTACGGACGGTGCCACCCACCCCAATGACATCTGCACCACCTTCCATGTAGCGCCGGATCTCCACTTTATTCAGAGTAAAACGCCAGCAACAGTGCTCCACAGTGCTTGACCCGTTTTCGGCCATAGGTACCTTACCTCAGAGGCTCAGTCGATGAGCTCTGCCTTAAACCTCCAGTATCACGGGCTCTCCTAATAATTACACCTGGCTTGCAACCAATCCCTCAATCGTGCGCAAACAACACCCGACGACACACCAGACTGCTAGCAATCGACTCGACGTGCTTTCCGTTGTAGGCGCCTACAACCTTACAAAGGGCAACCTCTTGTAACTGAACACGCGGGGCATGGCTTGCTAAACCAGAGCGCAACGCTCTCAACGCCACGAATATCTCGTCTCTCTACTACTTCCTACAAGATGTCGTCCTCCGCAGCACCGAGTCTCGCCCACAGATCCATTGCCAACATCCGAACCGAGACGGGCTCTGGCATCAGCGGCGGCCCTACGAGTCCACACACCCCTTCTCGCAACATCTCGTCAACCTTTGGCTCCCCATCCAGTCTGCGCGCCGAGGAAGACACCATCGTCATAGAGCTGGGCTCTCGCTTCATTAAGCTTGGGTTCGCCGGAGAGCCAGTACCGAAGGCTGTGCTATCCCTAGGCCCTGAACAACTACGCCGCGTAGGCGACTTTCGCACCTGGGATCCAGATCACAAGGATGATTGGCGGCGGCGTCCAACCGGCAAGACTTGGGGAGACGACCATGAGCTGTGGCAATATGATGTGCGGACCGTTGACTTGGGGCTTTTCGAGGACAAAATAGACCGAGCAATTCGGGAAGCATTGAACAAGTGACGCATCCTCGCCGTCTATGAGTCTATCACAGCATCACTAATGTTTGCCGTCCAGGTTCCTTCTTATCGATTCACGGCCGCGAAGAACCTTACTCGTTCTGTCCTCGTCGATACCTCTGCCATTACTGTCAACCACCCTGGATGTTCTTTTCCACCGTTTCCAGGCACCGATTGTGTCTTTGATGTCATCTGCAGTCATGTCGGTTGTAGGGGCTGGCACTCGGTCAGCACTGGTCGTGGATCTTGGCTGGGCTGAGACCAGTGTGACGAGCGTTTACGAATATCGCGAGATCCGTACAACAAGGACTACCCGCGCAGGAAAGATGCTGGTCAACGAAACACACAACCTGTTGCAAGATGCACTATCGACTTCATCAGCGCACTCGCAAAAGACACGTCGGGAAAGGGAGCAAGGGCGGCACTCTCTGAGTTTTGAGGAGTGCGAAGAAGTCGCCTGTCGCCTGGTCTGGTGTCGCCAAGTCAAGCGTGGTCATCTCCCAAGTATTAGGCAGCCGGAGCAACAGCAATCTGGAGGAGAGGCGTTGCCTACGGTAGAGGAGCAGGACGAATCCCCACCGACTTCGCCAGTTGAAGAGGAGCGGTCTGATGGTAACGTCGAGGTTCTGATTCGTTCCGTGGAACCAGCGGAGAACCTCACCTTACCATTCCAACAACTGTCCGAGCCGTGCGAAAACACCTACTTCGCGCCACACTACTCACGTAGTAGCTTCGACGATGACGAGCTCCCTGTTCATTTCCTTATTTACCAACACCTTGTCCAGCTTCCGATTGACGCTCGCGCAGTGTGCATGTCGCGCATTGTATTCATTGGCGGATGCTCTAGAGTCATAGGCTTGAAGCGGAGGATATTCGATGAGCTGTCGAAACTCGTCCACGAGCGTGGTTGGGACCCCGTTCAGGGGCGTGCACCAAAGCAGTACGAGAACAACGTGTTGCTGAAGAGAGGCAGCCGACGGGCAACCGAAGGCCCTACAGAGATCGAGCCGCCCGCAAGGGAGACGGAAGAACGTAGAGTCACGGGCGAAGATGAGTCTCGAAGCGCAGCGGATGTCATTGAGGACTCTCTGAAGAAGCGAGAGAGCCACCATCCTACAATTCAGGGCACCCTTCGGCCTCTGGGTTCTCTCGGGCCGTGGGGAGGAGCCAGCTTGGCGTGCCAGCTTAAAGTGATGGCGATGGCTAATATTGACCGTGAGCTGTGGCTTCAACAAGGAGTGAATGGAGCTTCACGGCCGAATGAAGTCGACGTCAAGGCTCAGCAGCGGCAAAGCATGGGCCCGGGTGGACTGATGCGAGGAGCTGGAGGTCAATCGAACTGGACGTTGGGAGCATGGGGAACTTTATAGCGAGGCGGGCGTAGAGAACTGCCTACCGACATGTGAACATGCATTGATACCCCGGAGACCTGCTGGCCTTCGACATATGAATAAAAGAATATATCATTAAACTATGCAACCAAACACTGTTCGACGCTCGTCTTTCCGTTGGAGTGAGCGCGACTGTAGCGAGCTGTGAAGCTGAAGATGCATTTAATTGGGTGAATGGATCAGTGGAACCCCTGCTATTATGCTTGTAAGCGGTTCATACAGTTATCACGCTGCCTTCATATCAGATCATCGCACTCCCTCAGAATACTCATTGTGAAAGAGAGACATCGAATCTTAACCTCTCAGTGACCGGACTTCAAGATGGGGAGAGATCCAACAAGTCTCTTGCGTAGCTCATTAGGGGCAGCAGGGAGGCGCCTCCTGCTCATTTCACCACCCACGCCGCGCATCATCAGCAGAGTGAATTGCGTGGCGTCACAACAAAGCCGTGCCTTTGCAGACGTCAAGCGGCCCTCGACCGCGCCAAAACCCATCATCGACATCAGACACATTAGGGAGAACCCGGAACTGCACGAGCAAAATTGTCTCGAGCGCAACTACGTCCAGCAGAGCAAGAGCCCCACCCGCATCAACGAAATCTTTGCGCAATGGCAGGCCCTTCAAAAGGACAGTCGCGCAGTTCGCGAGAGGTCGAACCTGTTGCGCCGCCAGATCGCCAACCCGGCATCCACCAGCGGCGACGACAATGCAGAGTTTAACGAGATTCGGGCCAAGACCCGCGACGAGCTGCTGGAAGAGGCCCGCGTGCTCAAGCAGAAGCTCGCGGCCGTGGAGCAGGACGAGGCCAAGCTCGTCGAGGAGATGGAAGCGCTCGCCCTCGCCATCCCCAACCTCACCAGCGACGTCACCCCCGTCGGCGACGAGCCGCGGCTGCTGAGCTACATCAACGAGCACCCCCACGAGACGCCCAGCGCCTCAGACAAGGTGTGGCGGTCCCACGTCCACATCGGCTCGGAACTGGGCCTCCTCGACTTCGCCGGCGCGGGCACCGTCTCGGGCTGGGGCTGGTACTACCTCCTCGACGAGGCCGCGCAGCTGGAGCAGGCCCTCGTGCAGTACGCTCTCGCCGTCGCCACGCGGCACGGCTGGCGCCAGGTCGCACCGCCCAGCGTCGTCTACAGCCACGTCGCCGCCGCCTGCGGCTTCCAGCCGCGCGACCAAAACGGCGAGCAGCAAATCTACAGCCTCGCGCAGTCCGCCGCCGACGCCGAGCGCGGCAAGCCAGAGCTCTCCCTCGCCGGCACGTCGGAGATCCCGCTGGCCGGCATGAAGGCCGAGACGACCCTCGACGCCACGGAGCTGCCCGCAAAACGCGTCGCCGTCTCCCGGTGCTACCGCGCTGAAGCCGGCGCCCGCGGCGCGAGCACAAAGGGCCTCTACCGCGTCCACGAGTTTACCAAGGTCGAAATGTTCGCCTGGACCGCGCCCGACGCCGACGAGACGGTCGATGTCTTTGAGGAGATGCTCGACATCCAGACGGAGATCCTCGGGTCTCTCGGCCTGCACTGCCGCGTCCTCGAGATGCCGACCGCTGACCTCGGCGCCTCCGCCGTACGCAAGTGCGACATTGAGACCTTCTTCCCGTCTCGCCAGGAGCAGAATGACGGCTGGGGCGAGGTCACGTCTGCCAGCATCTGCACCGACTACCAGACGCGGAGGCTCGCCACGCGGGCAAAGATTGACGGCAAGCTTACCTTCCCCTGGACCGTCAACGGCACTGCTCTCGCCGTCCCACGAGTGCTGGCTGCGCTTTTGGAAGCCGGATGGAACGAGCAGGAAATGTCCGTCTCCATTCCGGCTTGCCTGCAGCCGTGGATGGATGGAAAGGAAAAGATTGTTCGCAAGACTATCTCATAGCACCCAAGCACTTTACATAGTCCTGGCTTGAAATGAGGACACGGACATGGTATCTTTTGTAACAACACTTGTATTCGCACTCCTTTGTATGAGCATTGTCACGTGCATCTGGCGCATCTCGGTAAAATCAAAAGTCGAGTCGTCGAGGCTCATCAAAACACATGTTCATCATATGGCACACGGCTGTAGGGAGGTAATAATTTTATACTTTACTACTTCCAACACACTGCCTACAATACTAAACATCAACTGGACTCTTACCAGCAATACCAATTTCAGACAAAAGAGAAAGGAAACCCAATAACTCCATTTTGATACAAACTACCGTTCATCCTAGGTGACGCCGACCCAGCAGGCTCATGCGTTATTCAATACTCGTCAATATGTCCATGTGAAAGAACAACTTCTCAATAGACACCAACTCTGTGTTCCTAGGCCGTGACCTCATTGTTCAGAGTTTCTTGACTCATGTCGGAGCCAAGGTCTGAACTGACATTGGAACTGACGTTTGAGCTCACGACACTCTCAGTCCAATCGCTCTGGAGGTCACTCTGCAAATCGCTGTGGTTGTCGTCGTAATAGTCCGAATAGTCGCCGTCGCCGGTGTAGTTGTCAGTACTCTCCGTCACGACAGTTGTACCGCGGCTACCACGGCTCACACGACTGCCATGGCTGCTACGACGCAATGTCTCGGTATCACTAGGATCATCGGCCCCAGCCGATTCTTCGTGCATGACAGGCGTGGGACTGGGCATGTTCTCCTCCTCCGTCTCCTTCAAAGACATGTTCTCCTTGTCAAGATCTCCGTAGCCCTTCGAGAAGCCCCCAGCCCAGCTAGACTTGCGATGACCACGGGCACCGGCAGTCCTGACGCTCTGGCTACGCTGGACTCCACCGGTCGGCACGTTGTTCGTGATCTGGCTCAGGGACAAGATACGGCGAGCAGTGCCCGCTTGCGACGGAGGCTTCAGGTTTCGTTTCGCGGAAAGGGCCAGGTTAACAGCAGGAGATGCAGGCTTCTCGGGGACTCCATTCTCCTGACCCGGTTTCTGGTCCCGGACACGCTTACGACTCATAGCGTCGCGCCCTTTGGTTGCCTTCGACATCAGGAGTACGCGGGAATGGTCCATAACGCCTTCCAGAATGCGGCGCTCCAGACCCTCGGCACGAGATTCCATGTCATGAAGCTCGTCCCGACGGATATGCAGTGCAGTCTCGAGAGACGAAACATCGCCCGTCAGCCTTGTCTTTTGCCGGATGAGACTTTCTTGCTCCGTCCGGAGTCCGAGAACAGAAGCCCTGAGTCTCTCTTCCTCTTGCTTCAGATCCAGCAGACTGGCCTCGATCTGCTCCCTGAGGGCAAGCTTGCGCTCAAGATCAATGGTCACTTCCTGGAGAATCTGCTCTCTGTCGTCTTCCTCCTCTTTGATCTTCTTGGTCTGACTTGCAAGGAAGAGGGAGATGTCTGTGGCCGTTTGGATTACTTGCTGATGGACCTTTTCAAGAGTGTCGAGCTGACCAAAGGCCTTCTCAGCAGCATGACTATGATCAACAAGCTCGTCCAGCTTGACGTGAACAGCGGCATCGTCGTACTTGTCGGTGGGGATCAATGCCTGTTGTTCGGCAAGCTTGTCCAGCTTGTCTTGCACGGCTGCGTCGTCGTATTTCTCGGTCGGAATCAGCAGCTGCTGTTCAGCCAGAACTCCGAGCTGTTCCCGAATTACTGTGTCATCGTACTTTTCGGTTGGGATCAACAGTTGCTGCTCGGCAAGCTTGTCCAGCTTCTCGTGCACTGGCGCATCATCGTACTTCTCCGTAGGGATCAACGACTGTCCACAGGCAAGCATGTCGAGCTTCTCCTGAACTGCCGCGTCGTCGTACTTCTCGGTCGGAAGCAGAGACTGGTACTCAGCGATCCTGTCCAGCTTTTCCTGGATCACTGCGTCGTCGTACTTCTCCGTTGGGATCAACAACTGCTGTTCAGAGAGCTTGTCAAGCTTCTCATGCACCGGCGCATCATCGTACTTCTCAACAGGCACCTGAGAGTGCTCTACAAGCATGTCGAGTTTCTCGTGAACGGGCGCGTCGTCATACTTCTCCACAGGTATCTGAGAGTGCTCCACGAGTTTGTCGAGTTTCTCATGGACCGGTGCGTCATCGTACTTCTCCGTCGGGATCAACAACTGCTGTTCAGAGAGCTTGTCAAGCTTTTCGTGAACACCTGCATCATCGTACTTCTCGACTGGTACTTGAGAGTGCTCTACAAGCTTGTCGAGCTTCTCATGAACGGGTGTATCGTCGTATTTCTCCGCTGGAGTGGAAACATGCTCTACAATCTTGTCAAGCTTCTCATGTACTGGCGCGTCGTCGTACTTCTCAGGAGGAACGGAAGCATGTTCGACGAGCTTGTCAAGCTTTTCATGAACACCTGCATCATCGTACTTCTCGACTGGAGCCTCGGAATGCTCGATCAACTTGGCAAGCTTCTCCAGAACCACAGTGTCGTCATATTTGTCGGGAATTGGTGGCAGAGCGAGCTCGACTGGCTTGGCATCCTCGATTGTCTTTTGAATATCATTCGTTGACGTCTTGGCGTAATCGTAATGTTGGCCAACGATAAGCAAGACATCTTTGATCGATTCCAAGATCTGAGGTTGGGATTCAACAAGCTGTCCCTGAATGATCTCGACGGCATCGACAGCTTGCTTCAAGTGGTCCCGAGTTTGCTGGTGATCGGCCTTCCCATCTGTGTGGTTCTCCTCAGACTTGGTCATGAGATCTTCAACTCTGGTGAAGACGGTCTTGGACGCTTCCTCCATCTTCTCCATCGAGTCGGTAACAGCAGCGCCAAGTGTGTCCACGAGAGACTTGAGCTCTTCAGCAACAGCCTTAGTACCCAAGACTGCCTCTTCGGTGCTGGCATCTCTTGCCTCTCCAGCCTTTGCGCGGTCGTCGAGGGCAACGTGGAACTCGTCGTACTTGGTCATCAACTCCGTGACCTTCTCCTCAATCTTGGCGCTCAAGGCATCAGTGGTCTGCTGGAACTTCTCGTCTGACTCCAACTTAGCACCGACTACGGCGGCCTTGGACTCCTCGAATTCTAGCTTCATCGTATCGGAGAGGTCCTTCAGATCTTGGTTCACAGAGGCGTTGTTTTCCACTGCTGTCGACACACCCTCGAGCAGTTTTGAGAGGCTCTCGACTCCAGTGGCACCCTCTTCGAGTTTGCCCTTAACCAAACCCTGGAACTCCTCGAGGAAGGTCTTGACTTCCGTGACGCGTTCGCCAACGCCGACGATCTCGGCTTGGCGCTCTTCGGTTCCCTTGTCGTGGGACTCGGTGAGGGCGTTAAGTCGTGTCTTAAGCTCTTCGAGTGGAGTCTTGAGCTCCTCGATGGGGGCCTTGAGCTCCTCGATGGGGGCCTTGAGCTCCTCGATGGGGGCCTTGAGCTCCGTCTTCAACTCGTCCAATGGAGCTTTGATGCCCTCCTGCAGTCCTTCCTTGAGTCCCTCTAGAACCACCAATGCCTCGAGGGGGCCTTTGAGCTCCTCCAAGGTCGTCTCTGTCTTTTTCAGGTCTTCCTTGGTGACGAGGGTCGCTATCTCCGTCTTCAGCAGTTGGTCAAATACGTCCTTGATATCGTGACATGCAGCTTCCACAGCCTCGACGTCAGTCTTGGTGACTCGCTCGGGATCTTCCAGTTGCTTGGCAGCGCTCTCTTTCATTTCTTCGAAGCCTGCAGCAACTTGCGTAACCAATGCTTCCACGGATGTCACGTCATCCTTCTTCGGGAGAGTGTCCAGCTGGGTAGTGATGAGATTGATGGCTTCTCTGGTTTCCAGTATGGTGTTTTCCAAGCTGTCCAGATGCTCCTTCCGCACGGCTTGCTCGTTGTCAATGAGATCGTCCAGTCGACCCTTAGTGTTACGAAGGATAGTTTCAATCGCTTGGACGTCCTCCTTTGTTGAAGCATCGGTGCTGACTGGGCTCTCCTTGGACTTGACCCACTCCTGGATGGGCAGAATCGCCTCCTCCAGACGGGTAATATCCTCCTTGGTGACTGAGCTCTGTGCATTGAGCAAGACTTCTTCAATCCGGGAAGTCTCGTCCTTTGAGACCGACTCTTGTACGAGTCGAAGCATGTCCTCGAGACGGAGCATGTCGTCCTTGGATGCAGATTCCTGGAGAGAACGAAGCATGTCCTCCATGCGAGTGAGATCGTCTTTGGCGACAGGATCGGCGTTCGCGGGTTCCATGGCCTCAATCTTGATCCGGAGCTGGGTGATGAGAACCTCGAGGTTTTTGATGTCATCCTGCTTGAGGGCATCAGCCGGGACCGGCACAACAGCGCCGTCATGCATTGTCGTCAATGCCTTGTCGTTCTGGCCTTGCAGTTCCCGAAGGCCATCGATTTCTGAGCGAACGTTGTCCAGCCCGGCTTTCAATGCGTCGAGGACCTCATCGTTGGCTGTGAGATCCGCTGGCCGGTTCGCGACCTTGTCGATACTGATGCGCAGATCGGCCAAGCCATCGTGAAGAGCGTCAAGAATGTCCGTGACGCCGGCAAATGGTCGGCGCAACTCGCCACGCACGCTATCGATTCCATCTCTCACGGCTTCGATGATCTCCTTCTGGTTGACTTGCGGAGTGACCGGCACCATGGAGGAGTTGACGGTGTCGCGTAGTGACTCCATGTGTGATTCGATTGTCGACCTGGAATCGCTCGACACGCGGTCGACCAGCATAGCCATCTCGTCTCTGAAGGTATCTAATGTGCCAAGAAGAGTCTGGGTGATTTCTTCCTGTCCGGCGGTGCTGCCACTGAGATGACTGACATACGCTTCCATGTCGGCACGAAGCTTCTCCAGACCATCCTTTGTAGCATCCAAAATCTGCTCCGTGTCACGTCCGTTGGCGGCGGCGTTCACTTTCGCATCCTCTGTCACCGCTCGGAACTCTCCGCGCATGTACTCAAGAATCTCTTGCAAACGAGTGACGACCTCCTCATTGTTGTTCTGGTGCGGTACGAGAGCTCCGGCGGTAGGGAGATCGTAACCGCTGAGGCCTTCCTTGACCGCATGAAGCATATCCTCTCGGGTGAGCTCCTGTGTGAAAGCCGAGGGGGCAACAGGAAATTCAAACTCCTCCAGGCATTCGCGAACGGCTTCCAGGATCTCGTCTCGTGAGAGGCTTGTTGGTGTCTCAACACGAGGTGGCGAGAAATGTTTGAGACCCTCGACAACTGCCTGGAACACTTCTTCTCGCGAAGCTCCTACGGGCTCCTGGTCCCTGTCGACGTAGTCCTGCAACCCCTCTTTGAGGTACTCGAGGATCTCTTCGCGTCCGAGGCCAGGATCCTGGTTCTCAA